ACGACGGGGCCCTTTGTTACGTCAGGGGCACCCACCGAGAATCATAGTTCACAACCACTCAAACATAGCATTGTTGAACGTATTTTAGTATTTAAACGGTAGGTCGAGGCATATTTTTATCCCCTAAAAATTTTTCAGCTGTTCAGATTTCCTAGCTGAAAGTCTATTGATCCGAAAATTATAGAGATTAAGAGTTACCTTTCGAAAATTTCAGCCAAAAAGAGGCTCCCGAAAATTCTAGGTGACCTTTTTAGGGTAAAAATTCGTTAAAAATGGGCAATTATACCATTTTTGGGGGGTTCGAAAATCCTAGGAGAGGCAGGCAAGCAAGAAATTTAACAACAAATGTTCCGAAAATTCTAGATCTCAAATCGTCTTCCGAACAGATATTTTCCAAAAATTGTCGTTGGATGCCCTTGTTACGTGCCAGTCACATAAATGCAACAAACCCTTATTTGCAAACGTCGGGCTCTTCTAGTTCATTTTCCCGATCTTTTTCATTTTAAACTGTACCAACAATATGGGCATTGATTACAAACAAAATTATCTGGAACTGTAAGATTTGCGGCAGTTTAAAAGCAATTGCTAAATTCCTAGGTTTCTAAGCAAACAGAGATTATAGCTGATTATAAACTTAAATGGCCCAGTTACGTTCAAAAGCGATAAAACTGAAGGAAAAGCCTTCGAAATAACCACGGTCGTATGGACGTCACCCGGAGTTACACATTTCAGTATGCATCCGGCCATATCGAAAAAATAAGGGCACGTTTAACTAAGAGCTGGAGCTGTCAAGAACGCTTTGGAAAATATAGCCCGGCTAAATAGACTTAAGTCAACACCTTCCGAAACAATTGGAGGCTTCGATTCACACACTGCAATACCATTGACCACTGTGAGCCTTATGACTTTTGGGACTACCAGGACTGAGATATGATATTCTGTAGAGATCGTAAAATGTTTTTGCAGGTTGATTATCGTTTTCAGCTGACGAATTGGAAGAAGTGCAAACCAGCTCCCAGCAGTTCAGCATTATGTATACATATATAGTGATAGGTTTATATATTTGGGGTTGTGGAGTCGTGTTACGTTTCCTTATAGCTTGGTTATACAGAGCGTTTTCACACGATGTTACCGCGGCATGTTGGTGTTCCAAACAAATCCTGTGTGAGTTGAACTCTTTCCTTTAGGAATAGGCTTTGTTTTGTTACCATTAAATTTGCATTAGATGCTGGCCACGTGGGTGAAAACACTCTATATAAAAATAATAATCATGAACTAAAACCGATAACTTTAGACAGTCATGGTATCAATAATTCTCTCGATACTTTTTGATGTGTTATTGTGAAAAAACTTGTTTTATGCAGTTGATATCACTTGATACTTAACGTGATTGTGATTTCATACAAGATATATCACAAAGCGTACAACCTTAAACCACAGTAGCTACCCTAAGTAGCTAATGGATTTAGGGGTATACGTTTATTAGCATTTCACAATTTATAAAAGTTTCCTTACAAATCGCGTTCATTTTCACAAGGCCCTCGAGCATGCTCGAGGAGATAAGTCGTTCAGTTTTCGTGCAAGGTTTAAAGGGTTTCCACATCTTTTGGCAATAACTAACCTTTGTAATAAGTTAACCCGTGCGCATACGACTTCTCTGCCGTTGGAAAACAATTTCAGGTTTCATCAACCGGCGCTTAATTAGGCCCGGTCCAGACGCCGAACTCAGGAGCACCCAATGTTTTCTGTAAAATATCTGTTCGGAGAAGCAAATATTGCCTAGAATTTTCAATTACTTGATGACGGCTTAAAATTTCCAGATGACCGTTCCATTCATGAACAATTTTCGAAGCCTATCTAATAAATTCCCTACGATTTTCTGAAGATGACTTTTTCACATTTCACTCTCCAGGTTAGTCTATTTTTCGTAGTAAAAAGGAATCTAAAATTTTCGGATTCAAAAACGGACCGGAGGGAGAGGGGAATTAGAAAAATTAGCTCGGCCGGGACTTTCGACTGTGGAACGACTTTGGAACGTTTTTGATTCAGACGCCGAACTTTTCATGTGCATAACCTAATGCATAAATTATAATAACGCATTTTGCAAGCAGTTTGATCGATATGAGCGTTTTTCTCCTTTTGAAATTAGTTCACTGACCGATTTCCTAAACGAGCGCCGAAGGAGTACGCTTCTAGGCGGGGGGAGGGGTAGGGATAGACTTAACTCTCTTTAAGTCCCCTTTTTTGGGTTTCCGAGTCATTCAGACAGGATATTGGCCAGTTCCATTCACATTGGATGAAGCCTTGTAATTTGGAAAGTTTTTCATAGCTGAGAGCTTCTAAAAGAGGATGCTACTTTCAAAGTTTCGTCATCTTTTACCTTGAAATTGCAATTGAAACGAGTAGAAACTGATTATTACTAATCATTTTCTACTCGTTTAAATTGAATTTTAAAGGTTAAAGGATAGTTACGCACTAGTTTAGCGAAACCTGTTTTCAGGCAGTTAGTAGCTCTAGCGTCACGAATCACAAGTAGACCAGATTGATCTTCATAACGATCAAACTTTCTCCAGACCACTCTGTACCCACTCCTTTCCCCTGGAGTTCAGCATTTAACTCCCCACCCATCAGGTCTCGTGCGTGCTGGAGTGTATAGAATTTGACGGTCCTTAATTCGGTTTTCTTGGAAAAGTTAATCAGTGAAGAGTGACGCCGTCGCTTTGCAGTGGTTATAAAACACATCTTCAAACTAAGAAAAGGATTCACGCTCTAGCGAGAGAATACTTATAGAAAAAGGCCGAAAAAAATGCAGAAAAAGATCCATCTTTTTAACTGTGATCATCACTATGAACTCCGCGTCAACGAGGATTTACGAAACTCCTCCAAACCGATGCTGCATGACAAACTTGGTTTCGATTTCACGGTGGAGCATCACTACTTCTCCGTTAATGAAATCGATGAGTTGAGTGAGAAAGTTATTCCGTCACTGAAGATAGATATTGCAGTTTTCGTCGTTCACGCTCAAGAGTCACGCGTGTCGATAAACGATGGCCGCGGTTATACCAAGGTATACAGAGCTTTAATGAAAGCTACAGGTAAGAATTCTAAACGCCACCAGTAATTCGTCTTATTGCTACAATTTTCATTGAATTTCAAATATTTATACTACTACATGAGAAATTTCTGCGATTTGATTGGCTTAGAGCACTGGTATTTCAGCTTAATTTGAAATACTTACATGTGAAAATTACAAACCTTTCGTGGGTAATAGTATAAACAAATAATGACATTATTTGTACGTGATATTTTGCATAAATACTACTCGTGATATTTCAAAATTGTCTCAAATTTCACTCGCCCAACGGCTCGTGAAATTACGTATAACAATTTCGAAATATCACTCGTGGTATTTATGCCAAATATCACTACAAATCATGCTATTATCTATACAAATTACAGATCTTTCTGGCCAGATTTATGTGGACAAAAACGGAACGTCAATGGCGTTAACAGTAAGCCGTCAAACGACCGTCAAATTTGAACAGATAACCGTCACAAAAGTTTATGTTTTTACCGTCAACCGTCAAAACGGTATAACCTCATCAATTATTTACTGCAACTCAGAAACAGTTCGAGTCAATCGAGCGATATAAGATGCGAGTTTCCATCGGTGAGGACCAAATGAACTCATTGTATGACCTGTATTTAATCGTGACCAGATATTTTGAAATTACTTTATATTATTATAGGTTTTATAGTAAGCTGGCAAAATATATCACATATTTTAAATGTGAAAAACCGCAACGAACTCCAGTGACCGTGTACTTTGATATTTAAAGAAATACAAAAATTATAAATATTCAGTTTAAAATTCATTAGATGAAATTTCCTTGATAACCTTCGTCCGTCAAAAACCCCGCTACAATTTAAACCAATCGTCAAAATCGCCAACGTTTAAGCGTCAAAGGTAAACTCCCATTGAGACCCTCAAAAAAGCATTGGAAATCAGTGTGTCAGTCACCGTTTAGTCATACGCACTCATGAACAATTGTTATATTGTGACTGAAATGCGCCACACTGATTTGCATTGCTAAACAAGAGCCCCTATAACCAGCAAGAATTAACAAATTACTCACTCGATCCCCATCCTACCAAGACGGAGTATATGCTGCTCAGTAGACGTGGGCTACTGACTGGGCCAAAACGAGCTATTAAGATGGGTGATGATTATGTTATCGAGGAGATTGTTTCTACCTTAGGTGTGTAGACAGACAATGCTCTTAAATGGGATCTTCACGTATCAGAACTAGCGAAGTCGTTTACGTGGAAGTTGAACTTACTTATTATTAAATCACTGTACTTCCTGCCTAGATAAGCGAGGACTGATTTCTATTTTGAGGTTATTTTGCCCTCTGTTACGTATGGAATGTTAGTTTGGGGCTCTTGTGGCGAAGTACTTTTCTCGAACCTAGAATCTATACTGTTAGAGCGGCAAAAATAAAATACGACGCGCAGAGGAAGAATTTTTGGCGGACTTCGAGGAGTTTCATCTGTGTCAAATGCTCCATATTGCTTCTCCAAAAAAAAAAATTTTAGACGGAGAAATTAAGGATGCAAAAGCGAGCAGTTTTTCATCTGATTTCCAAACGCTCATTAAACACTTTAAAATTTCCTTTGTATTTTTATGAATTATTAATGAGTTTGAGAAATATTGTTTATTCATGTCTTAAGTAAAATCACTCTAATTCGGCTATTTTTACTACTCTAGTAATCTGAGTCCAGTTATTTCAACTTGTAATCAATAGATACTTCCTGCTGTCATGGATTCGTATTTGATTTGTTCTCAGTACGCGTTCATGGTGGCAGCCATGATGTCATGATAACAGTATTCAACGTTCGCTTTTAAAATTCGGCTACTGTGACATGCTAGTTGGATCTAACGGTGACCAGTCTTCCCTAAAACAAGGTCAAGTTTCTCTAACGTATATATTCTTTTGGTAGGAGGCAAGGTTATTATCGTCATTGGAGCAGATGACAACTACAAAATCGAAGAGGAGGAAGAACGATCAGTTATCTCGCCCTGGGCCCGAAGAATTGTCTGTGTACAGTTCAACGAAGAATATTTGGATGGAAGAAAAAGCTTCGTCTTTTCCTGGGGCGAAAAACACAGGCAAATCCACGTGGAAGCCCTGATGCATTTTTTTAATTCAGACAAGAATGGTGAAAAGTTAAAATATCAGCTGCCAATAAAAGCAGACCCAACCTCGAAGGCCAGACGAAAAACCACGGCTGAATCCATTCCAATAGAAGCGGAAGAAAACAAATGCTCCTCAGATATTGGGAAAATTACTCAAGGAAAGGGTGCTTTTATTGTACTTTTACAATTTAATTTATTATATTTTTCCCCGACCAGACATTAGATCACTGAAACGCAAGTGAGTAGAGATAGCGGATGATTGAGCCCTTCGCGCTTCGGCAGTTGACACTCGTGTCATTTCTTTTGTTTATTCATCAAATAAAAGTAGGAGAGAACAATGGTTTAGGAACAGTGGTCTTTTTTCACGAGTGACGTCCTTTCGAGGGATGCAGGGTTGACCACACACAACAGTTACAGGACGATTATTTAATCGACTTCAGTGTTTTTGTTTGCAGTCATTTAGTCTTCAGTCGTTCGTTAGTTTTTTCGTTTGTGTTTCAGCCATCATAATCAGATGGAACTGAGCAATTCGTACCTTTTTCTCCTTTAGTCTTGGCAGTGCATTAGAGTAATTAGACATGTCACTGTTTTTTGTTTGCACCCACAGGCTTGGCAGGTCTCGGTTGTAGCGTAGGACTGGAAATTCCTTCTTATGGACTAAGGGATCAGAGTTACAAAACTGGAGGAATTAGCAGAGCAGGTATCAGAAGCCAAGGGGCTGTGCCTCAAAGGGCTTTAGGATCAACAATTGTTCCAAACCCTTTGAACTCATCACACAAAAAGCTCTCCTCTATGAGAGAGACACAGATTGCCTCTAAAAAGGGAAAGGTTCCGCAGAATTTAGTAATATTAGAGGCACTGGTAGACCTGCCATCCAAAGCCAAAGCCAAGGGGCTAGACCTAAGGGAACAACGCCGTTTACAATTAAAACAGCCACAGGAAACTAATGGATGTTAGCAAATTTTACACTCAGTTCCTTCAACTGTTGAGTTGGATGTAATTTTTAACTAATTAACATCTAACTGATGTTTATTCCGCTTTTATTTTTTTAAAGACAATAAGACAACAGGGCATCTTTTCAAAGTGGCCCTTTGACTCTTATAAATTGTAAAGTTTGCCTATCAGTCACTTGATGAATCGCTCCTTTTAGTGTGATGTATTTTGCTCTCAAGTTGAGCATTCAGTTTTGACAAAACAACTTCATGATAAAAGAAGCTTAAGAACATTAAGAATTTTAGCGTTGCACTCGGCCTGGTACTGAAGAGCCCCACTGAAAATAGTGCAGCGAGCGATATACACGAGCAAGAGGTTCTAATATTAAACATATTAAAATTGATAAAAAAACAACAACAACAGAGGTTAGCGGACATCGCAAATACGTTGTTCAAGTGTTCCTTTTAGAACGTCCTTTCGAGTGGTGCAGTAACGAACAAATCTTGTACTTGCAAAACGTCGCCCCATGGATTCCCTGTGATCCGGGAAATTTTTGCGAGTGGAATCCGGAATCTGGGAAATTTTCACCGGTCGAATCAAATCCTGGGCTTTGATATCCGGAGTACAGACAAAGGAATACGGAATCCAAGAATCCGGATTCCAGGTACTGGATTCCAGAATCCACGGCGTTGGATACAGAATTCGTGGTTGTCTTGGATTTTCTTACCTGGAGCATTTTTTTTTCCGGTTCTCCTTATAGTTGTCCTTCCCCTCCTTTTGTTTTTTCTCTCTCTCCCCTCCTCCGCTTTTACCATTAATGTACGTAATTCATACTTTGTACTTTTTTCCTTTTACTTTCAGGCTTGACAATTATTGGTTGTATGGTTTCCGAAGAAGCCATAGACGCTGTAATACAAGCAGTTGAAAGTATTCGTCCTAAACTGAATCTTCATGCACAGCCTCCAGTTATGAACCTTTCCCCCGCCAAAGCTAAGCAGTACTTGGAGAGACACTCGCTCCAGTTTTGTGTGTTGGTAGTCAATGGGGAAACAGTAAAAGACGCTTATGAGAATCTACCTGAGCGGAGAAATGAATATGAAAAACTTTTCAAGACGGCAGTGCAAAGAGTTGGTAAGATGAGTGCTCATTGTATAATAACAGAAATAACGTTTCTATATACTTTCCTTTTCTCACTGCATTTAGTTACTTTAAGTTTCATATGGCTAATGTGTGCCTGCACGGCCTACACGTGGTGCGCCTAGTGGTTCCAGTGTTTCTATTTTCTAGTGTTGAGATGTGAAGAAAGGAAGGAATTGAAGTAAGGAGGGAGTGGTGGATGACAGTACAACAGACGCGCCCTATTTACGATATATATTTAACAATTATTCCTCGAGCCGGGATGGGCTCTGAGTCAATAGCCCATGAGGGCGAAGGCGAAATGGGCTATTGACACAGAGGCCACGAGGGCGAGAGGAATAATTGTTTTAGTAAAATCCAACTAGTTGGTCAAAAATATCGAGACAAAACAACTTTCGCTAGTTAAAGCTGGACTTAAAGCCATTGTTTTGGTTTTCAAAGCCGGCACTTTTCGCTACTAGTAGGCTATAACATATAGCCTAGAACTAGCTCAACCAATTGGAATGCAGCATTGATAATAGACCACTAGTTGGATTTTACTAGAACATGTTAATAGTAAGCTCGGACATTAACATACAAGGGCGCCACGGGCAGCCGCTATCAGACGAGTCCATTTATAAGCAGTACTGTACCCACCTAACCCATGGTGTGAATGATGTGTGAAGGTTGGCCACGCCACCGGGGTCTCCTTTCCCGTTTCGGTCCCCGTTTTAAACCATAACATAACAAGATAAGACAGAATGATGTATTTAAGTTTGGAGAAGGCCATCTTTAAATTGCTCTTTTTACACGACGAAAGCGATCTTGAGGTTTTACCGTTGATCGCGCGGTAGCACTGGTTCCTCTCATTTGCAACCCCGCCGGAAAGCAATTGTAAGTTTTCATTAGTTATTGCTAGTATACCCTTAGGAAGTTTCAAATTCATTGTGGATGTATACCCGTATTGATGTTATGTTCTCTCTTGGACAGTAAACTGGCAAATCAGTGATGTATATCTGATTGAATAACGTTGTCGCTAAAAGTATAAACCATGAACGATGAGGCTTCAAGGATTTTATACGTTCATTAGCAAAGCAAATTCAAAGTTCTTTCGACAAAAGTTTACATTGTCACGAGATGCTCGTGAAAATGCAAATCCCTAGAGTACTTTCAAGGCATGCCATTGTCTTTTTTTGTCTTCAAAGAAAGCCAGCTTTTAGGTCCTGTCTTATGATTTTAAAGTGGGGGATAGCGATATGGCTACTTTCTTTAACTGTAGACATCTCTTATGAGTCCGGGACAAGTAAAGTTGTGAGCTTATCTGTACAGCCCCCGAAATTATCCCGACCCCGAAATGATCGCCAACCCTGAAATGATCCCCAAATCGACCCCGAAATGATCTCCATTTCTCTTCACGTCGACCCCGAAATGATCCCCATTTAATTTTAGGAATGGAATGATATCCTTTAACTATGGATCGTGCAAAATGCACAACATTATAACTTAAGCTTCACTAATAATCTTTACTTGCCCACATGACATTAATTTGGGATTACACTTTGAACTGGATTAAACGAAAATATTATTATCAAAAAAATTACACAAAGTCTAGTAAATTTTTAGGAACACCATGGACTGCAACTGATAATATCAAGAAACATAACATTTTTTAAAATTATTACTTAGGTGATTATAGCCCGGGTTATAGAGAAAACTGCATAGATGTTAAATTTTAAAAATGATGTTAAAACTGCATGCCTTGGATATTGAATTTTAAAAATGGTGTTTTAACACTTTTTAAAATCTTAAAGTGATGTTGAAGATGCAAAAGTATACATAAAGGCGATCAGATGACAAAAGCGCTAAAAAATCACATAAACTGCACCGAAATGTTTCAGTAAGTAAGGTAAAACAAAATACAGCAAATACCGTGTACGATCAATCTTGCTCAACGTTGGATCCAAAAAGATCGTGATCAGTCAAAATAGATCAAATTGAAAACGTTACAGTCAAGAAGACTTCAGCAGGTTTCAGTCTGAGTCTTGGGTTTGTTTGTAAGTGCGTCAGTGCGAAGAATGTCGGAAGCTCGTTGTATTTGGATCTTAAGAAAGGTTTTGTCGTAGCCGCGATTACACTTTTCATTCTACAGGTGAAATTGGAGAAACTAAACGTCGCCTCAAAGACCGTTTTAATGAACACAGACGACCAATACTCAACCCTACTGGTAATTACATCCATACTGCAGTTTCAGAACACTTTCTAACCAGTAATCATTCCGACAATCATATGCTTTGGATTCCTATTGAAAAACTTAAAAATGGGCGTGATTCTTTCAGGAAAGCACGTGAAGCCGACCTTATCCATAAAGCTAAGACAATTTAGCCTCTCAGGGCATCAATAAACGTGATGAACTGTAACTATATATAGTATATCTTTTATTTTTTTTGTTATCTTGTCTTTTAAAGTAGCCACCATACCACGTCATATTATGTAATTTCCGGTCATAATTTTACGTCATATATATTTCTGTGAATTCGTGATATCTCAATAAACCCAGATGAAGGCTGGTATTGGCCAGTCGAAATATCGCAACTAAACTCTATTTCACTTTGTTTGATCAGTCGCTGCTAAAGTCTTCTTGACTCAGACTCGTACCCAGTCGCTATTTAAGTGTTTTGGGGGATGAGAGAAGATTGGGGATTAGGTTGAGGCGCGCGCGGGGTCTCATGGGAAGGGAAGAAGGAAAAATACTGTTCTTGACCGTAGCGTTTTCAATTTGTAGCGAAATGTTAATCACTATTTAAGAACGTAAACGCTGCAACAGATTTGTAATAATTCCGTGACGGAATACAAGTTCCATTCCAAGAATTAATTGGGGATCATTTCGGGGTCGACGTGAAGAGAAATGGGGATCATTTCGGGGTCGGTATCATGATTTCGGGGTCGATTTGGGGATCATTTCAGGGTTGGGGCTCATTTCGGGGTCGGTATCATTTCGTGGTCGATTTGGGAATCATTTCAGGGTTGGAGCTCATTTCGGAGTCGGGATCATTTCGGGGGCTGTACATACCGCCATGAAATCTGGAAACCGTTTGACCTTTTTTCGGAATGCATCGTAGCCAAAAGCTTCGATAATGTGAACTTTTCTTAAAAGGAACAGTATCCCGTTACTGCGCATGCACCAAACTTTGATTTTTGGACAGGATGTCGCGAAACCAAAAGATGCGAGGAGAGTAAGGTTGCATTCCTTTTAGCCAAACTTTTTTCGGATTTGGACAATCCAGATTGTTTGCATTTTTGTGTTAGCCGGAACAAAAATTCTGCTAAATTAAGCATCTTCTCGTGGAGAAAGGGAAAAAACTTAGCTCTTTAACTAGTGGTGTTTCATACTGGGACTCGTCCACTTAAAATTATCTGGAATTTGATTCAACAAAATTCAGAAGACAATTACGAATTCTCAAGCGGTGAGAAGCGCGCTCTAAACACACACACAGACATTGGCCAGTATAGTTTTACGTAACGGTGAGAAAATCTAAGCGTTTTCACTTCCTAACGGATGTAGAGTGACATTGGAACTTGAGTTTAGTATACTACAATCCTTTAGCGGTATAGAACAACAAAGGAGTAAAAAATAACTTGCCTGAACTAACCTTGACCTGCCGTGTTTATTGATGAACGAGCACGTTTTTGCGATCGAAAAGCAGTTTCATTAAATGGAGCAAAGATATGAAACCTGATTGAGATACAAATCTGAACGATCCATGTTCAGAGGTAGATCGTTCGGATTGCAATCTTAGATTGGTTTAGTCCTTAATGGAACAAAAAATCGAATTTTCGATCGCAAAATCCGGATTTAGATTGGCTAAAAGGAATACAACCTAAGAGAACCTTAAAAAATCCGTTTGCATCGCGCTTAGCCGAGATCGATACTGCACTAAATCTTCTCAGGATTACAGATCAATGATATATTGTTCCCGTTGAGTTTCGATTTGGGCAAAATCGGGATTTTTGGGCGTTACTTTTGTTGTTTTGGCCGGAGGACCACTGAAGGATGGGAAGCGCTTTTATGCCGATTGAAGGCTTATTTCTTCTGCCAGCTTCCATACAAGCTCATGCAGATAATTGTGAAAGGAATAGGCAGAAATGAAACAGCAACAATAGAGGCTGTAAGAAAGAAACCATTGAGACGTGGATGTGACTGAGGAGATCTTGTGGAATTAAGCTTCATGAAGCAGAATGTTTTGCAACGACGCGTTAGTAAACTTTTTGAATGAACCTCCCTACGGCCGACAAAATCAAACAAACAGGCGCTACATGTCTAGAAAAATTAGTGCAATAAATCATAATATAATATTTGACTAATCTTTACGATAATTCATTACGTTAAGATTGCATTTTTATTTAATATATCTTTCAAACGTTTGAAGCTAGAAGGCGAGAAAATCAGGCAAATATTACTGGACTTGGAGCAATTGACCTCTGACACGAGTTTCAGATTAGAAAAGCTGTTTTTAAAGCGAGCGGAACGAGATTTTCGGGTCGCGAGGCGGCCCTGCTAGCGACAAAAGCGCGATGAGTCTTCGTGCCGCGAGCCAAATTTTAAATAAGACGAAACACTTCTTCGAAAGTCTAAAATATTACTTTAGAATGTAAACAACAAATCTCCGTCGGCGGTGCAGTCCGGAAGGAAATCTTGTGCAGTCAATATGACAGTTCTATGGTCTTTTAAAGAAAAAACAGATGACGTTCGCGCGTTCGCACAATCGGGACACTGTCCCTTTAAAAGAACTTGAAATTGGCGATGCTAATAAAGTTCTACCCATAAATCCGTTAGGTTCCATCGTTAAAGGTTTATACTTTTCAAGCGACAACGTTTCTCAATCTGGTGTATAACTTGGAGTGAGACTGTTCACAATGGACTGACTGTAACCGGCCCGGGTAACCTACTGACAGGTTTGCCATTCGGATTGCACGAAAATAACAATAAAGTTGGTTGTCAATCACAATAACTACGAAATCTACCAATTACAACCTTTTTTAAATGTGGGTTTTTGAACTTGCTCTAAAGGAAAGCCCATGTTTTCCGAGAAGTTCGTTAGGGTGGTGATTGACAGAAGCAAAGACTGAACCTAAACGTTGGTTAAATGTTAAACTTGAAGTCGCATGTTTCATCTTTGCTCTGTTTGTAGTTTTCTTTTCCATTTTTTCTGTACGAATCTAGAATTTGTCGTTTTTCATTGAATTTTGCCTCGCTAGTTTTCCACTTATCAGAAAAGGTTGTTGTCAATGATTCCATTTAGCTTTCGATCGTAAATAAACAACACAAATCCTTTTTCAGCAGTCGGCGCGGTTATCGTCTTTTTCATTTCTTTGTTTATAACTTGTTACTCACATCGCCTTCTTTTATTCGAATTCAATTCAAAACCGTAGAATTAGTATGTGTAATTAACTCCTTAGTGCAGTTTTCATCCCGCTCGATTAAAATCATCTGAAAGCAATTTTTGAATTATTCAGCCGCAGAAAATCCTTGCTGTATTTTTTTCATGGGGCTTTTAATATCAAGCTCGTCAACTATTTTATCCTTGTTTGACACTCAGATTACGAACTGTCTAGCAAGACACAAAAACCTTTCTTTATTCTAAAAGAGAGCAGTAAGCGCCATAATATAAGTTACCGAGCTAAAAATCATGTTGTAATGTTTTGTTTTGGTTTGCAATCGATCGCGCGCTTCATCAACACGAACGCGTCCTTCTTGACACACGTAGGGTGGAGAGTGAAGGAAAATTTTCCCTAAACTTTTAAACGTCAGTAGGAAAAAATAAAAATGTTATTCACCGGGCTAGGTGGGTCCGTATTGGGAGAAACTGTGTCCTCGGGCACAGTTTCTCCCAATACGGACCTCCCAGCCGGTGAATAACATAGATATATATTTAGTGGTTAGAATTTGTGTCCACGCAAGGTAACACAAAGAAACACAAAGGTTTCTCAATGGGTCTTCTGGGTCTTCTGATTTCTTTTTTTTATTTATGTGCAGTGGCGGATCCAGGGGAGGGCTCCGGGGAACCGGCCCCCTCCTATTCTTAGACCAAACTGAGGCCAGAACAAGAGGCCCCCCAAAAGTTTTTTTTTTTAAGACCACCCCCCCCCCCTCCTCCCCCTCATCTCAGGGTCTGGATGACCGGGCCCCGTCTTATCTTAAGGTCTCGTTCCGCCACTAATGTTAGCTTATTACGGAATAGCCTCTTACTTGTCTCATGCTTTACTTCTTTTCTCAATAGCTATAAAGGTGATTTTTGGGGTCTGCGGTAGCCTGTCTTTGAATGAGGAGGACGAAGAGATAATCCATCAAACAATACACCGTGCGTTCGAAGAAAAGAACAGAGGATTCATAGCTTGGTTAAGGAATGGGAGACTGACGGTAGATACTGATGTCTTAGTGCAGCTTCTGAATCCCGCGTTTACCATGGCGTTTGTGATGCCACCAAGCAGCCCTCCTCGAGGCAGGGATCAAGGACTCACCAATGTCCCTTTACATTCCTTTGATCAACGACTTCAAGTCGAACAGCTACCAGAAAGAAAACTGGGATATGGTTGGGAAAATGAGAACCTGGAACCAGTATGCCTTCCTGCTGCAACGCCAACCTACAATGCCAAACAAAATCAGGGTGTGATAGGAAAATTGGTGCTTGAAAGTAAACTACGCTATGGCCTCATATCATTCGAACCAGCAGATCTTAAATTTCTTAGCGGAGAATTCCGGGAAATCCCTGAAGACATTGTTCAACATCTTCTACAAACACACAAAGAAATCGATGAGAGCAGGGTTAAAACCATGTTGGTCCCAAGTCATAACGACCAGTTAATTTACGTCGGTGACCAAGGCATAGAGATGGCCGACAATGACTTACTATTGTTAAAAACTCGTGTTATCAATGGTTTGGTATCTCTTCATCAGGATGACATTGAGGCTCGATATCCCGCGGATTGGCAAGTACCTGTGTACATACTTGAAGACCTGGACTAGAAAAAATCTAACGGCAAGCTCTTTATTATTTCCGACGAAAAAGGAAATTTAAAATGCCATATACTGAGCGAAAAAAAGGGTAGAGTAGCTGAAACAAAAAGTAAAACTATGGCTTTTTTTACGTCGATTATGCCGACAAAAGAATCAGCAAGTAAAACAAAATTTGTTTAGTCAAACTCAAACGACGGTGGCTTTCTCAAAGCTGTCAAGATTGTTTGTTTGCGGCGGAGTTGACACAAATGTGTGTCAAAAAGTTAGTCAAAGGAATCTGAAACTACATTTTTCATTTTTTTAATCCTAAGTCTGCTAAAGTTACGCAGACTTTTACAATGAATCTTTTCATAATTAGATGTTAAGGGGTGGAAAGGATGGTAAGGAGCGTTTCTTTCTATACCTGTTTACTATTTGTTGGTAATACTACTCTAAGAAGATGTGGCCAGTTGCAAACAAGTTCTTCTCCTACTCATGGACATTACTCGATGGTCGCCTTCAACTCGCGCGTAGTTGGAATGCACCAACCGAAAGTTAAACGACGGGGCCCAATGTTATTTGCAAACGTCGGGCCATTCTAATTAAGACATTTTCCCGATCTTATTTATTTTAAACTGTACCGACAATACGGGCATTGATTATAAATAAATTTGATCTAGAACTGTAAGATTTGCGGCAGTGAAAAAGCAACTGCTAAATTCCTGTTTCTAAGCAAACAGAGATTATAAACTTAACGTTGCCCAGCTACGTTCAAAAGTGATGAAACTGAAGGAAAAGCCTTCGAGATAACCACGGTCATATGGACGTGGCCCGGGGTCACACATTTCAGTATGCACCCGGCCATATCGAATAAATAAGGGCACGTTTAACTAAGGGCTGGAGCGGTCAAGAACGCTTTTGAAAATATCCCCGGCTAAATAGACTTAAGTCAACACGTGAAGGCTTCGATTCACTCACTGCAATACCATTGACCACTGTAAGTGTTATGAGTTTTGGGACTACCAGGTCTGAGATATGATATTCTGTAGACATTGTAGAAAAATGTTTTTGCAATTTGATTATCGTTTTCAACTGACAAATTGGAAGAAATGCAAAGCAGTTCAGCATATATGTATACATAGTGATAGGTTTATTTGGGGTTGTGGAGTCGTGTTACGTTTCCTCATATATAGCTTGGTTATATAGAACATTTTCACATGACGTTACCGCGGCATGTTGGTGTTCCAAACAAATCCTGTGTGAGTTGAACTCTTTTCTTTAGGAATAGGCTTTCTTCTGGTACCATTATTTTTGCATTATATGCTGGCCACGTGAGTGAAAATGCTCTATATAAAAATAATAATCATAAACAGTCATGGTATTAATAATTCTGTCGATACTTTTTGATGTATTATTGTGAATAAACTTGTTTTATGCAGTTGATGTCACTTGATACTAAACGTGAATGTGATTTCATACTCTTGCAGCAAAAAAATATAGTTATATCACAAAGCGTACAACCTTAAACCACGGTAGCTACCCTAAGTAGCCAATGCTTTTGGGGGTATACGTTAACTTTATCAGCATTTCAAAGTTTATAAAAGTTGCCTTACAATTGCGTTCATTTTCACAAGGCCCTCAAGCATGCTCGAGGAGATAAGTCATTCAGTTTCGTGCAAGGTTTAAAGGGTGTCCACATCTCTTGGCAATAACTAACCTTTGTAATAACTTAACCCGTGCGCATGACGCCTCTGCAGTTGAAAAATAAAAGAGAGCTTAAGCAAAGACGTTTTTGAAGGACGCACATCAACCGGAAGTGAGCCTTTCTCCCTTTTTATATGCCTTGACGCTAACAAATTTGTATTGCTAAGTTTCTTTTCTCTTATGAAGAGGATTTATCCGAGAGTTTCAAACAAACCACTGCCCAATGATGCAAAAGGTCCACTTCCGGTTGACGTCCGTCGCTCAACAACGCTGTTGCTTAAGCTCCCTAATTTCAGGTTTCATCAACCGGCGCTTAGGCCCTGTTCAGACGCCGAACTCAGGAGCACCCAATGTTTTCTGTTAAATATCTGTTCGGAGAAGCAAATATTGCCTACAATTTTCTATTACTTAAGGGGGCCTTAAAATTTCCAGGTGACCGTACAATTTTCGAAGATTATCTAATAAATTCCCTACGATTTTCTGAAGATTAATTTTTCACATTTCACTCCCCAGGTTAGTCTATTTTTCGTAGTAAAGAGGAATCTAAAATGTTCGGATTCAAAAATGGATGGAGAGGGGAATTAGAAAAATTAGCTCGGCCGGGACTTTCGACTGTGGGACGACTTTGGAACGTCTTTGATTCAGACTTCGAACTTTTCATGTGCATAACCTAATGCATATATTATAATAACGCATTTTGCAAGCCGTTTGATCGATATGAGCGTTTTTCTCCCTTCGAAATTAGTTCACTGACCAATTTCCTAAACGAGCGCCGAAGGCGTAATCTTCTTGGCGGAGGGAGGGGTGGGGGTAGATTTTTTTGGGTTTCCGAGTCATTCAGGCAGGATATTGGCCAGTTCCATTCACATTGGATGAAGCCTTGCAACTTGGAAAGTTTTTCATTGCTGAGAGCTTCTAAAAGAGGATGCTACTTTCAAAGTTTCGTCATCTTTTACCTTGAAATTGCAATTTAAACGAGTACAAAATGATTACTAATCATTTTCTACTGGTTGAAATTGAATTTTAAAGGTTTTTTGTATGATACAGAGCATAGTTACGCACTAGTTTAGCGAAACCTGTTTTCAGGCAGTTAGCAGCGCTAGAGTCACGAATCGAAAGTAGACCAGATTGATCTTCATAACGATCAAACTTTCTCCAGACCACTCCTCTGTACCCACTCCTTTTCCCTGGAGTTCAGCATTTAACTCCCCACCCCTCAGGTCTCGTGCGTGCTAGAGTGTACAGAATTTCACGGTCCTTAATTCGGTTTTCTTGGAAAAGTTAATCAGTGAAGAGTGACGCTGTCGCTTTGCAGTGGTTATAAAACACATCTTCAAACTAAGAAAAGGATTCACGCTCTAGCGAGAGGATACTTGAAGAAAAAGGCCGAAAAAATGCAGAAAAAGATCCATCTTTTTAACTGTGATCATCTCTATGAACTCCGCGTCATCGAGGATTTACTGAACTCCTCCAAACCGATGCTGCATGACAAACTTGGTTTCGATTTCACGGTGGAGCATCACTACTTCTCCCTTAATGAAATCAATGAATTGAGTGAGAAAGTAATTCCGTCACTAAAGATGGATTTTGCAGTTTTCGTCGTTCACGCTCAAGAGTCACGCGTGTCGATAAACGATGGCCGCGGTTATACCAAGGTATACAGAGCTTTAATGAAAGCTACAGGTAAGAATTCAAAACGCCACCAGTAATTCGTCTTTATATTGCTACAATTTTCATTGAATTACAAATATACATTACAGATCTTTCTGTTCATGTGGACAAAAACGGAGCGTCAATGGCGTTAACAGTAAGCCGTCAAACGACCGTCAAATTTGAACAGATAACCGTCACAAAAGTTTATGTTTTTACCGTCAACAGTCAAAACGGTATAACCTCATCAATTATTTACTGCAACTCAGAAACAATTCGAGTCAATCGAACGATATAAGATGCGAGGTTCCATCGGTGAGGACCAAATGAACGCATTGGGAGTTTTAGGCTATGGATAGCTTTTTGCTGGCACCACTGAAAACGATAAGGTTTCTTTTCACACATAACAATGGTGACCTCGGCACGATTTCTGTAACGGAGCGAAGCTGGGCCGCGCCGATCTCTAAGTAGATTGAGAGTCACATATCGGATAGGTGTTCATACTATACTGGATAGCTTTTCGTGTCGCTACGACTCGGAAAAGCTATACAATATAGCTGTGTGAAAATAGCCTTAATCTTCCTTTTATTGCCCAGAGTAACAGAGCTGTGCGAGACTCTCCATTATTCTAGTTATGACTGGTGAACTCATTGTACTACCTGTATTTTATCGAGACCAAATATTTTGAAAATAGTTTATATTATTATAGGTTTTATAATAAGCTGGCAAAATATATCACATATTTTAAATGTGAAAAACCGCAACGAACTCCAGGGACCGTGTACTTTGATATTTAAAGAAATACAAAAATTATAAATATTCAGTTTAAAATTCATTAGATGAAATTTCCTTGATAACCTTCGTCCGTCAAAAACCCCGCTACAATTTAAACCAATCGTCAAAATCGCCAACATTTAACCATCAAAGCTAAACTCCCATTGAGACCCTCAAAAAAGCATTGGAAATCAGTTTGTCAGTCACCGTTTAGTCTTACGCACTCATGAACAGTTGGTATATTGTGACTGAAATGTGCCACACTGATTTGCATTGCTAAACAAGAGCCCCTATAACCAGCAAGAATTAAGAAATTACTCACTCGATCCCCATCCTACCAAGACTGAGTATATGCTGCTCAGTATACGTGGGCTACTGACTGGGCCAAAACGAGCTATTAAGATGGGTGATGATTATGTTATCGAGGAGATTGTTTCTACCTTAGGTGTGTAGATAGACAATGCTCTTAAATGGGATCTTCACGTATCGGAACTAGCGAAGTCGTTTACGCGGAAGTTGAACTTACTTATTATTAAATCACTGTACTTCCTGCCTAGATAGGCGAGAACTAATTTCTATTTTAGGGTTATTTTTCCCTCTGTTGCGTATGGAATGTTAGTTTGGGGCTCTTGTGGCGAAGTACTTTTCTCGAACCTAGAATCTATACTGTTAGAGCGGCAAAAATAAGATTTAATTTAGATTGGTGTACGTCAGGCAAGGAGGTTCTTGCCACAACAAAATGGAATACCTTAGAGTTTATGTATGAGAAACGATTATTAATTTTAGCGCATCAGGCTTATTATCATCTTTTACCATGTCCTATGAACTGTCTTTTTGACAAGTATATAAGTAGCTACAATCTCAGGAGGAAAATGACCTTTAAGTTGCCTAGGCCTAAGACCGATATGGTGAAGAAATCATGCTAATACAAGTCAATTATTCGGTGGAATGCCCTGGAAAACCAAATGAGATCAATTCATTACATTGACGCTTTTAAAAAGTCACAAGTGTGTTTTAAAGCCAGATGTATTATAATGATGTGCTGTGTATAGGAATTTTTAATGTTGTAATTGTAAATACGTAGAATTCGTATATTAGTCTTATTGTGCTTAGTAAAGAAGTTTAATTTTGGTGTTTGTATATACGACCACATCAGCTTTGCTGAATTTTTAATCGTATTTAAAGGGACACAGTCAGCTGATGCACATGCGCATTTCACACCATTTCTTAGCTGGTTTGTCTGATTTGCATATCACAAGACACGCGCGTGAAACAGATAGTGAGAAGCGCATCCGGAATATCGAAACAACCCTTGTGGAGTTGAACTACCTACAAGCCGAAATCGTGATTATAGACCTTAAACCATAGCAGAGCACTCATTTTTTTTATATACTATAGAGAATTCACCGATGGATTTGTCCAGGGAAAGCCACTGACATCGACGAATACTTCAGAATTCGATCATTAGGTGGAGGTGAGAAATGACACGGAGTCTGCATAAATCATTGTCGAAGGAAGCTTGATTTTCCAAACATATGTTACCTTTTCCATCGATTTTCCAAATATATATAACGATTATTTGCTCGCCAATGTTATTGATTCATTTCTTTTGTTATTTTGGTAAACGAAAGCGATTTCTCCCGCCCGGCGCCTACGCGCTTCTCACCTCTTCTGTTCATGTTCCTTTGGGTACTTTTTTTAACCAAATAAGATAAAATAATGTCACAGGATGAGTTAACATTTGCTCAAAAAGAGGTTTTCTGTAAAAGATCGAGGATTGAAGCGGAATGCTATGTATCCGACGCGTACATTTGATTTCGGTTTGAGGTAAACGCTTTTCAAACTGGCAAAAGTAGTGTCCAGGTCTGCGCGGTCCCATAGCTGACCGTGTCCCTTTAAATAAATGCTGTTACTGTCAGTGCTAACAGAACAACTCAACCTCGTCCCCAGGTTTTCTCGGTTAACAGTTCAATAATCTACAACTTTCGCTTCAATTTGACGTCATCGGTTCAATATGGCAAAATTCTTCCAAATTTGGTCAACCGTAGCTGGTTATGATATGCGTGTGGTTTTAGCCAATCAGAAACGGAGAAATATTTTAAATGAATAATAATACGCAGTATTACACTTTAAATGAATTTCATCGCTTTCTTTTGTTAACTCCTTACCATTTGGAGCTAATTGTTACGTAATATATCATGCATGCGACAAAGTCACTGCGTTTCATTACCAGATGAAACACTGAGAAGAGAGTTGAAAATACGGCGGGCAGCGGAAGAATTTTTGGCGGACTTCGAGGAGTTTCATCTGTGTCAAATGCTCGATATTACTTCTCAAAAAAAAAACGATTTTAGACGGAGAAATTAAGGATGCAAAACCGAGCAGTTTTTCATCTGATTACCAAACACTAATTAAACACTTTAAAATTTCCTTTGTATTTTTAATGAATTATTAATGAGCTGAGAAATATTGTTTATTCATGTTAGTAAAATCACTCTAATTCGGCTATTATTACTGTACTGATAACCTGAGTCCAGTTATTTCGACTTGTAATCAATAGCTACTTCCTGCTGTCATGAATTCGGTGCGAAACAGATGATTCGTATTTGATTTCGATTGATTTGTTCTCAGTACACGTTCATGGTTGCAGCCATAATGTCATGACAACAGTATTCAACGTTCGTTTTTAAAATTCGGCTACTGTGACATGCTACTTGAATATAACGGTGATCAGTCTTCCCCAAAACAAGGTCCATTCTCTAATTAGTATATCTTCTTTTGGTAGGAGGCAATGTTATTATTGTCATTGGAGGAGATGATAACTACAAAAACGAAGAGGAGCAAGAGCGATCAGTTATCTCGCCCTGGGCCCGAAGAATTGTCTGTGTACAGTTCAACGAAGAATATTTGGATNGTCCAGTTATTTCGACTTGTAATCAATAGCTACTTCCTGCTGTCATGAATTCGGTGCGAAACAGATGATTCGTATTTGATTTCGATTGATTTGTTCTCAGTACACGTTCATGGTTGCAGCCATAATGTCATGACAACAGTATTCAACGTTCGTTTTTAAAATTCGGCTACTGTGACATGCTACTTGAATATAACGGTGATCAGTCTTCCCCAAAACAAGGTCCATTCTCTAATTAGTATATCTTCTTTTGGTAGGAGGCAATGTTATTATTGTCATTGGAGGAGATGATAACTACAAAAACGAAGAGGAGCAAGAGCGATCAGTTATCTCGCCCTGGGCCCGAAGAATTGTCTGTGTACAGTTCAACGAAGAATATTTGGATGGCAGGAAAAGCTTCGTCTTTTCCTGGGGAGAAAAACACAGGCAAATTCACGTGGAAGCTATGATGCATTTTTTTGATGCAGACAAGAATGGTGAAAAGTTTAAATATCAGCTGCCAATAAAAACAGACCCTACCTTGCAGCCCAGACGGGTTGAATCCACTCCAACAGAAGCGGAAGAGAACAAATGCCCCTCAGACATTGGGAAAATTACACAAGGAACGGGTGCTTCTATTACTTTTACAATTTAATTTATTGCATTTTTACCTCACCAGACCGGCATTAGATCCCTGAAACGCAAGTGACAAGGGATAGGGGATGGTTGAGCCCCTCGCCCTTCAGCAGTTGACACTCGTGTCATTTCGCATTATCCATCCAATAAAAGTAGGAGAGAATAACAAAGGTTGAGGAACAGTGCTCTTTTTTTTACGAGTGAGGTCGATCGTTTCCCTGGATGCAGGGTTGACCACACACAACAGCTACTTGCAAGACGAACCTTTTATCGATTTTGGTGTTTATGTTTGCAGTTTGTGTTTAGTTGTTCGCAGAAGCCCATAACTAGGAGCGAGTAACTCCCATATTAGGCCTATGTTATGGCGTTTTTACGGACCAGAGTTTATTTTAAACACATTTTAGGGCACTTTTTCCTTGGAAAATAGAATCTCCGCCATGTCTATGAGCGAGTTCGAGGTATATGATATCAAAAACGAAAATTAAACGTTACTACAAGGCAAAAAATATCATTTTCAGGTCTGTAGGTTTTGCTGACTGGTTTGTGGAATTTAACGGATATTCAAAATTCGAGCCAAAACCGTTCTAATTAAGAATAAACTGGTCCGTGAAAACGCGGTGACACGAGCGCATGGAAGTTGCTCGCTCCGGGTTATGGGCTCCTGTCGTTTGTTAGTTTTTTCTTCACTATTCTTTCAACCATCATAACCCGATGGAAGCAATTCGTACCTTGCTCTCCTGTAGTCTTGGCAGAACATTTAAGTAATTAGAGGTGCCCCTGTTTTTTGTTTTCACCCACAGGCTTGGCAGTTCTTGGTTGTAGCGTAGGACCGGAAATTCCTTTTTATGGACAAAGGGATCAAAGTTACAAAACTGGAGGAATCAGCGGAGTAGATATCAGAAGCCAAGGGGCTGGGCCTCAAAGGACTATAACATCAACAATAGTTCCAAACCCGTTGAACTCATCTCAAGAAAAGCTCTCCTTAATGGAAGGGACACAGATTCCGCCTAGGAAAAAAGGTCCAGAATTCAGTACTAGAGGCACTGGTAGACCTGGCATCGAAAGCCAAGGGGCTAAAACTAGGGGAGCAGCGTCGCTTACAAAACAGCCACAGGAAACTAATGGAGGTTAGCAAATGTTACACTTAGCATTTCTTCAACTGTTAAGTTGAAAATAATTTTAAACTAGCAAACATCTAACTAATATATTTGCTCGACCCTTAAACGAGTTATAAATTGTAAATTTTGGCTACCAGTCACTTGTTTAATTTTCCAAGTTGAATTATTCTAAGGTGTGATGTATACTGCCATCAAGTTAAGCATTTATATAATATATAGATTTAGCCAGGGCTAAAAGCGAAGCTCCAATTAATAAATTTATAGCGGAGCTCCCGCGCGCGCGAGGCGCGCGGGCAGCGGAGCACCATGGGTAAGAAAATTTGGTAAACTATCCATCCCAGAAAATTTGGTTATGACGTAGCGTACGCCCGTCCGTACACACACTTCATGTAAGCCGATGTCAAATGTCACAATCGATCTTGCACAACTTGACTAGCCTCTTTGTTATGTAAGCCATCCGTATGAGTACGATTAGATTGACAGCTGTCAAAATCAGACATCCGCTGACAATTATCACATGACCGTCTCGCGGGCTCAGATAAAAGACCAGTCGTTTTGCCCCTATATATAAGCTGATATAATATGTCACACTTACCAATTCAACATAAAAACGAAACTACGGCGGGCAAGGCTGTCAGTTGGCTGACAGTCGTTTAAAGTTACATTGGCAAGCCAAATTTAGGTCAATTGACAGCTGTCAAAATGGGACATGTGCAGACCGCTATCACAAAACTAACAACGAGGGCTCAGGTTCGCTCAGGTACACGATCTGGCATTTTCCACTACATGCTGGACGGAAATGTCCTACTCACACTTGTAGTCTGTTAATTCGAATATTCGCCATTCTAATGAAGGTTAATTGACAGCTGTCAAACTAGAGTATACGCTGACCATCATCACCTGAGTGGATCGCGGGCTCATTTTTCTATCTATTGAGGTCACGTAGTGTTTAAAGTTTTGCGCTGATATTTTATTTGATCATGGGCTCAATTCGAAGCCCCATAGCTTTATAGAAAATCTCTCCATCCTAGAAAATTCGACAATCACGTGACCGTACACCGACCTTCCGTCCGTCCGCACCACAGGCATACCAATGTTTACTCTCACACTTTCTAGCTAGTTTGGGAACCTGCAACCTGATATTGTACATCTATGTTTTGATTAATTGACAGCTGTCAAAACAGTGTTTCTGCTGACCAGTATCGCCTGACCTTATCGCGGGCTCAGGTATCGACCCTCTGACTTCGAGTAATATTTTGAAGGTATTCGCTGACAAGTTGCTACTTTTCAAATGATCGCAGGCTCAAGTTCAATTTTTTTAAAATGCATATGAAATAAGTCGTGTTTCATGAGCCGCTCTTTTAAAATGTTGATTTCGAACTGATCTCGGACACGAAAATTCAACCGGCTTTTACATTTACATGCAGGGAAGGCAATCGCTTTTGACTTTTCTCACTGTCACGCGTTGATCACGCTCTACGTCCAATTTTTATGTTCTGATTGGTCAAAATTTGACAGGTGAGTTTATGCGGAAAATTTTTGCAGCGTCTGGAAACTTGCTTACTGATAGCTGGAGCTGAGAGAGTTTTGTGTCATCTTGTAATGTTATAAACTGCCTTTTTCTACTTGGTGTACAAAATGAAATACAGCTGCTATCAAGATTGTTCTGTAATTCGTGGCTGGTTTGTTTATTGCGCTTTTTGTTGACAAATGCACCGCTTGTCAAAGTCATTGGAAATCCGATTTCGGATGGCATCGTTTTCAAAAATGAGCTTACTCACTTGCCCTTGCTTGAGGCTTGAGGCGTGAATGCCACATTATGATGCTACAGCTAATGCAAATACAAAACACGAATAGGTCTATTTGTTTTCCAGGCCTAATCTACTGTGATCGAACATGATTGCTATGTTTCGGTGTGCAAATAACTTGATGTAAAATTTGTTTCACTCTTAGACGGTCAAATTCTGATTTTTCTCTAAAATCACTCAGCCTTTGCCTCAAAAGTCAAATGAATGTGCCCTGATCTGTGGATTACAAGTTTATTGTTTGAATTAAGTTATGAATTTATTAACGGGAGCTTCGCTTTTAGCCCTGGCTAAATCTATATATTGATTTTAAATCAAACGATAAACTTTTAATCCACAAATCAGTTAACTTAAGGGTACATTCATGTGACTTTTGAGGGAAAGGCTAAGTTATCTTAGAGTGAAACATCTTACATCGAATTGATAACCTTATATGTACACCCAAAAAATAGCAAACATCTTCGATCACATTCAAGATCACAGGAAATTAGGCCTCGAAAACAAATTCGTGGAAAACAAACCACGCCGATTTTTTTTGCGTTCGACAGGTTTACTTTACAAATTCTTGCCATCAAATTATACATCACATTTGAGGTGAAACGGTACTATTTATCTTACAGACCTCGGACAGAATGCGGTGTTTCACAAATTTTCAAGACAAATTGCACTCAGTCAATATTCAGGACGAGCTAAACCGTTAAAAAATTTCAGAAAATTTCCAAAATCACCCATACGGCCAGCTGGTTCTCGTTTCTATAGTGCGAGCTGTCAGTGTGGTGAATGAACTTTAATAGAGTTACGCTTTGTTATTTAATGGTTTCAGTTATAACGATGTATATTTTTATAAAGCGATTGATACGCGCGAAATTTTTGAGTACTCCTGCAAGCGATGTTCATGAACGATGAAAACAGACGGCAAGGACAAACGATTAAAATTGCAAGAGAGACTACTAACAACAGAGATGCCAACCTCTGGAGACCTAACATCGGGAGATTTTCTCTTTTTCACTACTCCCCCCCCCCCGCCGGAACGGAAAAATTGACCCAGCCCCCAATGGGAATGACTTAGGACATCATATGACGTCTTACATGATGTACATACCATCAAAATTCGAAATCATCGTTTTGATGCTAGAAATAATCTTTGTCAATGACTAAATACGTGCAAAAATGCCCCAGAAACCGTACTACGAATAAGAAAAAGTCAAGTTTTGAGCTAAAAATGGGCTAAATCTCAGACTAAGTCTGTTTTTTTGTTACTAAGTATTCAATATTTATAGTAGACGTAAAAAGCGGGAGATTTATGTACCAAAGCGGGAGAGCGGGAGACGAGGCAAAAAAGCGTAAGTCTCCCAGATCTAATATTGGAAGCTGAGATGTACTTAATCTCCTGTGGATTAAATAAGTGTCTCTAAAAATCCTGAGTCTTTAAGCGTAAAGCTTAAGCCGGCTTCCCGGCGCGGTGTTTTCTGTTTTCGAAGGTTAACTCTTCGAAGCAAGAAATTCGCTGAAATTTTTCTTTCTACAGCCAAATTTATAACTAAATATTCTTCGGAACGTTTTCTTTCTATCTGTGGTTAGCAAATATATCTGAAGGCTTTTTAAAGTTCTGTAAGCTTATATCAAACCTGATACTAGGTCAGATCATTGACTCAAATCCACAAACGTGCATAAACTTGCCGCATAAACTGTCAGCGTGAACTGTGCAAGACTTCATGAAATTAGATGTAACAAAAACAAACATCAAATACAATAATTACTCAGGCTTACCATTCGAGATTCAGTTCCTGAAAGCTATCAAGGAAGGCCACAGTTGCTTGAGACTTTTAAACCCTCTTACGCATTAAGCAAGGTGAAAAACGAAAACGATGCCTTCCAAAATCGAATTACCGAATTTTGACAAGCGACGCATTTCTCAACCAAAAACCCAGTAAACAAACCAGCCATGAATAACAGAAGACTCTTGATAGCAGCTGTATTTCATTTTGTACATCCAGAGGAAAAAGACAGTTAAAAACATCACAAGTTGACACAAAACTGTGTCAGCTTCAGCTGTCAAAGTAATCAACTTTCAAGATGCTGCATAATTTTTCCGCATGAACTCACCTGTCAAATTTTGACCAATCAGAGTATAAAAATTGGACGTAGAGCGTGACCAACGCGTGACTATGGTAAGATAAGGTCTTCCCCGCCTGTACTTTTAAAAAACTGGCTGAATTTTCGCTTCCGAGCTCAGTTTGAAATCAAAATCCTAATAGTGTTAGGCCATAGTGATATAAACACAACACATTTGATATGAATCCTTGGAAAAAAATAAACTTGAGCCTGCGATCATTTGAAACTGGTAATTTGTGAGCGGATAACTTCAAAAACCTCGATGGGTCGACACTTGAGCCCGCGGTATGGTTAGGTGATACTGGCCAGCGGATGCCCTGTTTTGATAGCTGTCAATTGATCACGACATTGATGTGCAATTAGTTTTCTCTTGGACTCCCAAACTAGCTTAAAGTGTGAGAGTAAACATTGGTTTTCCAGTGGTGCGGACGGACGGTCGGCGGTCGGTGTACGGTCACGTGATTACCAAATTTTCTGGGATGGGTAGACTTACATAGCTATGGGGCTCCGCCCACGCGCGCGCGTGGAGCTCCGCTATAATTAGTTTCGACAAAACAACTTATCATGAAAGAAACGTAGAACATTAAGAATTTTGGCCTTGTACTCGGCCTGGTACTGAAGAGTGCAACCGAACAATGTGAGGCGAGCGCATTATACACGAGTGAGCGGTTCGAGTGTTAAAAGAGGGAAAAAACAGAGGTTACGCATTAATCTACCGCGAATAAGTTGTTCAAGTGTTCCTTTTACAAAGTCCTTTCGAGTGGTGCAGTGACAAACGCAACAAACATTTACTTTCAAAACGTGGCCCCATAGATTGCGGGATCCGAGAAATTTTTGCGTACACGTGGAATCCGAAATCCCGGGCATTGAAATCCGGAATACAGCTCAACGAATGTGAAATCCAAGGTCAACTGACAAGGAATCCGGATTCCAGCACTGGATTCCTGAATCCATAGCGTGGAATCCAGAATCCAACGGCTATATCTTGGATTTCCTTACATGTAGCGTAAGACGATTATTTTATCGACTATTTTTTTTTCCTGTTGTGCTTAGTTGTCCTTCCCTCTATTTTTTTCCTCTCCCCATATCTCGCCTATCTCTCTTCCCCGCCCTCTGCCTCCGCTTTTACCATATTATGTACGTAATAGACTTAATTCGTACAGATCCTTCTCCTTTAGCGCATTAAAGGTGTCACTTTTCCTTTTACCTTTAGGCTTGGCGCTTCTCGGTTGTAATGTTTCCCAGGAAGCCATAGAAACTGTGAAGCAAGTTCTTGAAAGCATTGGTCCTACACTAAATCTTCATGCTCAGCCGGCAGTTATGAACCTTCCCCCTGCCCAAGTTAAGCATTACTTGGAGAGACACTCCCTCCAGTTCTGTGTGTTGGTAGTCGATGGGGAAACAGTAAAAGACGCTCACGAGAATCTACCTGCCCGAAGAAGTCAATATGAAGACCTTTTCAAGACTGCAGTGGAAAGAGTTGGTAAGATGAGTGCTTATTGTTTATTTAAAGAAATAAAGTTTCTACACTTTCCTTTTCTTATCGCATTTATATTACTTACTTAAATTTTCATATGGCTAGTGTGTCCATATGCACTCCATGCTTACACGTGGTGTGTCCAGTGTTCCTGTGATTATGGTGTGCTCATCACGTCAGCTCTCATAGTAGTTGCAGTCAATTTAAATTGCAATAAAAATTATTTTAGGGTAGATCAGGGTAGTTAATGATTCACCTAGGGCAGCAAATATGGCAAAGAGTTATAACTTCCGAAGGTGCTGTTACCTTCGTTTTAGTCATATGGAATTTTTGTTCAGCTTTGCCCGTTCGCCATAATATAACAAGAGGCATTATGTACAAGTCACTATATATATAAGATAAATCTGTTTGAGTTTGGAGAAGGCCATCTTTGAATAGTTCTTCTTACACGATGAAAGCGATCTTGAGGAATTACCATTGTTCGGTAGAAGCACGTTCTTCTCACTTGTAGCCCGGCCGGGAAGTTAGTGATAGTCTTTAAGGAAGTTTCAAGTTCATTGTGGATGTACGCGTATTGATCTTGTGTACTCTCTTGAACGGTATACTGGAAAGTCAGTGTAACAATTACAAGTAAAAGGTGGTTTTCACGTTACGTCATCGCCGCCATCACTGGTGGACGGTAAACAAAAGATCGCTCATTAGCTCGCTTTGTTTGTCCACCAGCATTTGTTCATTTCACCATTGTTATTTATGTCTCCCGAGATTGCATGAAAACCACCTATAAAAATTAAAACTACTGATTAACTAACAATAATTTAGCACAAGAATTTGCAATTTTATCTGTTCCTATCGACTCTTATAAACGTGACTATCTAGTATGGTAAGCAAGACTAATAATGCTTGTCTAGTGAAAAACAGTAATAATTTGAAATATAATAATATAATAACAAGAAATAAGTCATTAAAGAAATAAGATAAAAACATGATAAAAAGTTATATCATAGGATATCGCGAGTTTAAAGCTAGTACGATCCCCTATCTCACGAGTTTGATTTGACAGTTGATTCCAAGCCATTGCACCCCTCGGAGTAAGACTGTTTACAATGCGACTCTATTAAGTGTAATCGGCAGAGTCACCTACACAGGGTTGACCAATCGCATTGCATGAAAATAACAATAGAATTTCAATAAAGTTGGTTGTCCATAATCAAAGTGAAACGTCTATTAAGCGGACCCCCAATTAAGCGGACACTAAGCCAGGTCCCGAAATTAGCGTCTTAATAACGAACCCCTACATAACGAATATAACGAACCCCTATATTCAGCGGACGCCTCTATGAAGCGGACGCGAACACTAAAATAAATTGTATTTGGCTGATTTCTATGGTTAAAAACCTCTATTAAGCGGACACCGGACTGAATTGACAATAGTAGTACTGGATTACGTCCTAGAAATACGTACTGTAGTCGATTTATAAAGATAAATCAATACATTCTGACATTTAGCTGTCAATAAACTGTAGATTAGCACGAAAGTCTTGCACACTGAAGTACAGCACAGCTTCCTTACCTTCCTTAACAACGTGGAACTTTATCACAGTACAGAGTAACCGTTGAAAGTTAATCATTGCGCAATTTTTACAAATTTTTATTAAGCGGACGCTTGGGAAGGTTCCGAAGGTGTCCGCTTAATAGAGGTTTCACTGTACTACCAAACGGAATAAACAACATGGACTAAAATCTACCAATTACAACCTTATGAAAAATGAGACTTTTTTGCACTTGCTGTAAGTGAAATCCCATGTTTTCTGAGAGGTCCATTGTAGTGATTGACAGAAACTGAAGAACGTAATCTTTTGACTTGTGGTCGCATGTTCTCGTAAAGCGTGGCGACTTAGCGAAGAAATTGTTCGTTAAATGACGAATAACAGCTTTGTGACAAACAAATATGTCTCCCGAACGTTATATCAAAAACTTTCAATCGCAAACAACATCGTCCAAAGACAATTTTTTTTCAGGGAATGTTTCTTTCATGCTCACGATTACTTTCAATCTTTGAATTTTGTTCTTCCAGTAACTCAATTTGTTCTTACGGGCTGCCGGATTGTCTAAGGGACGAAAAGTTATGGGGAGGGGGAAATTTTCGAGTCGCATGAATTTTTTCTCGAAAACATTTCCCTTGTATGAATATTTTTAGGCCTTTGCATGGATAATTTTTAGGGTTATTTGGGGCGTGCAAGATTTTTTTGCATCCAGAGATCTTCTCATTACCTATGCTGTCTCTGTCAATGTGTTCTATTATCTGACTGAGTTCTTGGCGTTTGTATACTTTGGAGTTAGATAGGTAGATCAGGTAACCAGTTAGGTGGGGTAGCCCGCCTGTCCATCACACAATCTCTCGTATGGTCATCCATCTATTATGTAAACACGATCAAATAAAAATAAAATATTATATGGACAAGCGGGTTACCCCTCCTGAGAGATTACCTCACCTACCTGGAGTCCCCCACCCAAGGTAATTTTCGTTTGAGGTCGGAGGCCGGACGTTTTGATCGTCCGGTCTTTTGCCATTCTATGTTCGGTACTTTGATGCCAAAAATATTTAAGGTCTTATTTTTTTATCATATTTTTTTTTACTTAACCAACTCATGAACTTACTGACCGGAGGATAACAGAATAAGCAATCAAATTCTTTAAAACGGCCACAATACTTCTTTTTTCTTTGCTGTTTGATTGGTTTCCCTTTTCATTAAAACGAATTAGGGGTGACCATTTCGTTATCATTGATGCTCGGTCTAAAGGGAAAACTGAAGAGAATAAACGATTTTTTTTCTCGAAGGTCAAGAGAAAACAAGGTAAGGTTAAGTCTACCAGCATGATGAGTCTGAATGAGTCTTTCATTCTATTGACGGTGAGCAGTAGAAAGGGTAATTTTCTCCTTACCGAAAAAAAAAACCAAAACAATGTCTCGCGACGACACTTTCAAGTAGTGCGGTCACTATTTGCAAGGTTAACCTTATATTTCTCTTATCAACGATCAAAATACGACTTTTAAACCTTTTGGAGTTTGAAATAGAAAGAAATGGCAGACAGCATTTCAAGAAAAAAAAATAATACATGCGATCTCGAAAGCGATCAAATGATCTTTTGAATTTGGAGTTCTTCAACTCTTACGACTCAAGCTAAATGCGCCTCACTGAAATATGGATTTTTCTAGTCGTGGAAAAATGTTGCTGTACGATAAATGTTAAATTTAAATGCTAATTTGCTATATAATAAATTGTTTAACTCGTCATTTCTGAGAATTGAACACCAGCCTAGCCTGGGAAGGTGACTCTCTTGTCCCAGAGGCGCTGGAAACGTAACAGCATTTCTGAGTGTTCTATTTTGAAGGGACTGTTCACAGTCCCCTATTTTTTCGCGAGATCGTCGAGGCCCTCCTGAGTTTCAAATGTACCGAGGGGGTCGGGGGTCGGGGATTATAGCTGTAGGGGGAGGGGGGCGAGAAAAATAGAGGGACTGTAATAACATCTCTGCAGCTCGCGTTCACGGAGCGCGTCGTACCAGCAACGCAGGTGTCTGATTGGTCATTAGACAATAGATGTTGATTTGCGTTGACAACGGGTTTAGTTTAAGTTGCCGACACTGACAAGTCGTTGACAAGCCTTCGTCGTTTCTATAAAACGTACGCTTCAATAATACCACCATAAGGCACATCTTGAGCCAATATAAGAAGGATTTTTAGTATCCTGAGGATGAATCACGTAAGTCAACATGCTTTTGAAGCAGCCCGGTCAGGGGAATGTTGTAACAGTTTCTGCCAAACGAACTGAAATCTAACACTACGCCGACTTAAAAAAAGACGGCTTGTCAGAAATGTCTGGCTTTTTATCGGTAGGTTTAACGGTTTTAATCTGTGATGAAGCGAGCATGCTTAGTGCTTCGATTAGGGAAATGTTTTACCTGTGCATGTTTGCCGATTTCATTTGGAGGAATGGCCCAGAAATTGTATAAAATCAGTTTCGAAAGGAGATATTTGTAAACACGCGAAATAGATGCTAAATGTGTCTGGCATGTTTTTCATCACAAGCAGAGTGTCTTAATTAATGAATAGTAAAAGGCGTGAAATTCCTGTCACGCCTGCTGAACGCGAGCTGCAGTGATGTTATTACAGTCCCTCTATTTGTTCTCACTTCCTCCCAAATCGCCCCCGCCCGCTAAGTAGTTTTGACACTCAAGCAATGGCAGCCCGTAACGCAAAGCGCTCGATCTCGACGATCATACGGAAAAATAGAGGACTGTGAACAGTCTATATTTTGAAAATATATTTTAGGTAGCATGCCCCCAGAACCCCCTAAGTAGCTTGCGCCTTCGGCACTAGCAAGGCGCCTTGCGCCGCCAAAAAATACCGCGTGCGTAGCCTGAATTTCATCCGATTACTTCGAGTCGTTATTACTCCCTCAGTAACGTCTGAATCGACCGGCCGTAAATGCCGTCCAGTGACGTCACTACTCCTTGACCTTTGCTTTAATTCATGCAAAAAAGTAAAACACGACTTTCAAGTGGCAAACGGAGAAACATCGTTTGGAAATGTCTGCATGATACAGAACTGCTTTATTTTTTCCGATCGCAATTCATGTTTAACGTTCAAACTATCAACTGCATGCAGTACAACTCTGAACCGATTGTACTAAATTCTATAATCAAATTCAGTCGCAATCACACAATGAATTAAACACACACACGGAACACTTAGTTAAAAAATACAATGACTTGCTTTAATTGAAAAGAAGCTATTTGGTCCTTAACGAAGAAAAAATCAAGGAGACGAGAAAGAACAGCTAACAGAATCATTACACTTGAGGGTAAAAATAGCAAGAAGGTCGAGTTATAGCATTGATCTCAGAAAACTTCGCGTAAACAAAATCACCAGCCGCCGAAACCACAAAGCGGCTCTAAATGAAAAACCTACCGATTCTCTGCAATGATTCTTCATTCGCAGTTCAATTTAGCATTTCAGTTTCGAAGACAAGGGCAATTTTGCTGTTTAAGATTAAGATTAAGCAAGAGACTATAAAGGGGACAGAGAGGGCATCCCCCATATACACCCTATTCCATAGGTAATTCGTCTCGAGTTATTTTTAGAATCGGGATAAAGTTACCTCGCGCGAGGCGTGGATGTTTCGTGGAGGTTTCGCATGACCAAACGCCGTGCAAAACATGTCGGGCGAGAGGCAATGAAAGCGTAAAAAGATCGAGAGCATTCCTGAATATTGAAGCGAAATGAGTCGGCGCTCACCTGGGAAAAAGGAATCGCTGGACTCTTTGACAACCCGTGAAATCAGTTTAACTCGAAGTTGTCGTAACCTCAGTGCTTTAATAAAATGAGAAATTTCGCCGGTCTATTGAAACCGGTCGTTTGTACAATTTAGGGAGTTTAAGATCCAACGACGCGGACGACAACTAGAACGTCAAAAAAACAATAGGTTTAATTAGCAAAACAACAACTTCGCACGTGCAACACACTTTTTTGTTCATTTCTTTCCCGTTTTTGCACGACTACGACGTGAAAATGCCTAATTTCGCGTTTTATGGAGGACGTAAATAAGCAACGACGAAATTTTATTTCTCTTTCTGAGCTTGAATATGGTCCCTTGAAATTCAGCTTTAGGAGGGTTCGCCTACACTTGACAAAGTAAGTGGGTAGGAATAATCGCTATAAAGACTGAAAAAAATAAACATCAAACCAGAAATTGCTCTCTTCAAACTGTAAATTATAAATGATCCAGAGAGAATATTCAGTGTGTTATGGATTTCCCTGCTCTACTGTTAGCTCTATACAAGAGAGGAAGGGCGATTCTTTTTTAATTTCGGTTTCGCTGACACAGCTTTCGCAAAAATCTCGCTGTAGTCGTTTTCGTCGACAAAAGGAATAGCAAAATCGCTCTCCGCGTCTTCCCTCATTTTGTTCTGCGTCATTTCGTGAAAGACGCGTGGCTCTCAACGTGGGTCATCCACGCGGAACACATTCGCGCTATGTGATTGGCTGTTGTCGAATCCCCCCTTGAGGTCTGTGGTGTTAAAAATAACTCGAGACGAATTACCTATGGAATAGGGTGTATATGGGGGATGCCCTCTCTGCCCCCTTTATAGTCTCTTGGATTAAGCTTATCGAAATGTTTGAACTAAACGACAGAATGCCAGGGATGCGATCCGCTGAACATCAAGCGACAATCTGGCTTAAATTTTTCATAATTATACATAATTATGCGAATGTTTAGACAATCAACCAATCAAAATCACTCGGGTAGTGGGTGACGTCACTGGACGGCATTAACGGCCGGTCGATTCAGACGTTGTTGAGAGGAGAAAACGACTCGAAGCAATCGGATGAATTTCAGGCTACCGCGTCTGGTGCTTTCTGAAATATATCCGCCACTTTAAAACCTGTCGAAAACCCTGACCACCTTCATGTAAACAGGCCCTAATTCTTCATAACCAGCCTTTCCGTTGGCCGAATTTTGATGATATTTCTCCTTATTACCCCCGCAGGGATTTCGCCCAGAAGGCGAAATCCCGAGGAGACACTCTAGTAACTCGCGCGTATATTAAGGAAAGTACTTACAGTTGAAATATACAGTCATACAGTCAATATAGAAAATATCTCGATTTGCTTGAACAGGGGCCGCGAGGAATCGGTAGGTAATGATGACGTTTCTATTGTTTGCGCCCGCAATTACGAAATGGTTAGGATGACGTAAGTAGTATAGGAGGGACCGGTGAGGGAAAACAATAAAAATGAGGAGAAGGAGGGAAAACAATAAAAATGAGGAGGAGGAGGAGGAGGAGTAGGGAAAACAATAAAAATGAGGAGGAGGAGGAGAAAGGAAACGTGGTAAAAAAAATATAGCTTGCTTTCTTTCTTTGACTATTTTAATAGATTTCATTTCAAATCGCTGACCCCACATCGACCCCACATCGACCCCACATCGACCCTACATCGACCCTACATCGACCCCACATCGACCCTACATCGACCCTATCAAAACAATCAAAATGAGGAGGAAAAGAAAAAATCATCAAAATGAGGAGGTGGAGGAGGGAAAACAATAAAAGTGAGGAGGTGGAGGAGGGAAAATAATAAAATTGTGGAGAAGGAAGGAAATTAAGATTGAGGAGGGAAATAATAAAAATTGTGAAATTTTGGAGGAGGGAATAAAAAAATTGAGGAACGAAAATAATAAAATTGTGGAGGAGGAGGAAAGTAAAAAAATGAAAAGGAGAGGGGTGAGTAAAACATTGTTTGCAGTGTAAAAAAGAGCTAGTTGGCCTTTCCCCTTATTAATATGCACGATTTGCCTGCCAAAAATCAGTGAACCGGAACCAGGACAATCGCAGCAGCAGGAAATAGCATTTGCATAATTACGTTACGTCTCAGTGATTTTAAGTCGGGAGACAAGTTTGACTTTACTCCTCAGGCACTATGAATTAACCAATGAAAACTTTTCTTATTTTCTAACTAACCAATGGAAAACGAAGACGTTTATCGACCTTAAAGTAACTAGAAAACCTAAACCAACTTAAAGTAGCACACGACCTTATCTTAATGAGATTCCTGCGCATTTTATTCATGAGATCAAGATAATAGCCTATGACGTCACCTAGTTAATGTATTCCTGCGCAAGCTAATGAGATTCCTGTGCATAAAAGGGGTTAATTCGGTGCGCCCTATACTACTGACGTAAAGACAGAAAATCCCGAAGGGATCGCTCAGGTAGATTTTGTGACATTTATTGTGCAGTCATACTTCGATACTCTTTTGCGTCACGCAGTGACATTCTGTGGAGCAGTTGTTTTGAAAGTTATGGACCAAAAGACACTCGTTAAGCGCAGATGAGGTTATAAGGTGCGTTTAACTATGTATATATAAATACTTGGAGAGTTTGCCAGACACGAGTTCAGAAATCTTTGATTTATGTTGGAAACCTTGCCAGACACTCGTTCTCTCTCTTTGACCGGAATAAGACTGAGCCCCAAACAAGCAAGACGAATGAACAACGGCTAGCTTATCACTTGCAGAACAATGAACGATTACAGAAATTCGCCGACAATCAAATTCTGTGCTGACTTTTTCCCTGCTCACAGATATCCTTCCGTTATAACGTTTCAAATAAATCTTATTTGAAACGTTATAACGGAAGGACATCTGTGAGCAGGGAACAAGTCAGCACAGAATTTGATTGTCGGCGAATTTCTGTAATCGTTCATCGTTCTACAAGACTAGAATGCGCGAGCGTGAATCGATCAAACGTCCTTTTAATTTCTAAGGCTTACTTTGCGGCAAATAAAATGAACTGAATGTAAAAAGTGAAAAAGAAATAGCGAAATATTCAACTTCTAATTAAATCTTTTCTTATGGTTTAGAACTGAAACTATTCTCGAAACTGAGAATGTTTTGATCAAAGCTGTGTAAATCGAGCTGAAACTGTGCATGGAACCTTGCGTTTCCTGTATTTATCTCACCGATTGTAGGTATTATGGGTGAAAATCTTCATTGTGAATCGGTATATTTCAAAGAGCTACACAACGAACCAGAATACTATTGACCGACAATATACAGAACGGGGGCAGCTGTAGTGTCAACTAGTGCTAGTTGGTAGAGCTGACGTCAGTGGGACTGATCATCGGCAGGAAAAGGGACAGACCGCTGCGCGAGCTTTTGGCAAGGAAGAGCTAAAGAAAATGGAGAAGATTCATGCACATGTCATGGGAAGAAGAGAAATTCCAAATATTGCCTACAAACGGCAAATATACCACTCAACGGCTGACAAATGCTTTTTAAAGAGTCTCGGCTTGTATTTACCCCTTTACATTTTGAAACTACCGAACAACTGGCAAATAATTATTATGAAGGCGAGAACAACAGTTCGAGTCATGTTGAAGGTTCCAAATAAAATAAGCAAACTTTGGGCTCGGGCAAATCTGAAAATGCTAACTGTGAATGGTAGAATGAGTTTTTTTACCATAAAAATAAGCGGTTTCGACTTAAAAAATCGGCTTCCAAACTACTGGATTGATAAAATTATTTTAGGCTCTTCTGTAGCAATGATTTTTTCTGTTACCGTTTTGGGACAGCACATGCATTGGAAAGGGAGCGCCTTAAACCTGCTACTGTCGTCTTCATTTGCAAATTTGTTTCAGCTCAGTCCTGAGCCTTCATAACAGGCTGATATTTTATGCGTGGGATTCGTATGCAGGAACTAAGGCCTTAGTATAAAAAAGATCGCCAGTTTCATGCAAAAGTATTAGAATTTCAAAATTCAGATTTTGAAAGCATGGTCTTACCGTATACCTACTAATTCCTTTTTCCAATATCATTGAGCTCTTCTGATTTCCCAATGCAACTATAGATAGAAATCCTGATGAAAGATTTTTATTTCTTCTTTAGCTAACAAGGTTATCATTTTGGTCTGCGGCAGCTTGAATATGCCTGAGAAGGACCAAAAGATAGTCAATGAACAAATCAGCCGTGATGTTAAAGAAAAAGGATTCATTGCTTGGTTAAAAGATGGAAGGCTGACAGTACACCCAGATGTTTTGGCGCAGATTTTGAATCCCGCCTTGGCCAAGTCGTATATGATGTCACAGAGTGGTGCTTCAGGGGTTGTTCAGGGACAGTCAAATGTTTCCCCGCATACTCTAGATCAACAAGGTCATGGGGTACAGCCTCCAGAAAGAATACCGGGATATGGGTGTGAAGATTGGAATGTACAACAGCAAAAAACGTATTTTCATTATGCAATTCCAGCCTCTGCCAAACAAGATTCGGTAACTGGAAAATTAGTGCTTAAGAGCAAAATACGCTATGGTAACATTTCATTTGAAGAAAGAGATCTCAAATTTTTAAGCCCTGAATTTCAGGGAGTTCCTTATGAAATGCAACGAGAGTTTATGAAACAACACAGATACACCGATGAGGTAGAAGTAAAGATCATGTTCGTCCCAGAGAATAACATGCTCTGGGTTTTTTATGGTGATTGTGGAGTAGAGATGGCTAACAATGAGTTACTCTTGTTAAAAACTCGTGTTATCAACGGTAAAATATCTTTCTCTGGCATAGACGTCGAGTGTTGCTATCCGAACTGGACAGTTCCTGGATACATCACTGAGAGCTTGAAAAGCAAGGCGTGTAATGGAACGCTCTTCATTATTTCTGACGAGAAAGGAAATTTACGAACAGTCGTACAGCTTGGAACAAAGGAAAAACTATTTGATTTGAAAGATAAGGCTGTCACAGCCATTTGTGCTCCGTTATCTCAGAAATGAAATTGCGTATTATTGCAGTTCTTGTTGACCGTATTCCGGAATGTGAAAACGTGAAATTTACCCTAGTAATCACTTTTCTTGGTATTCATTGCATCGTAGAATCTAAAAGTATGAGCTGAATAACATTTCAAGATGCATGTAGCATTGCAGTGGCCCGAAACATATGATAGAAAAGATTTGTAACAAAGTCTTCTGCATGTTCATATTGCGGAATACGGTGAATCAAACGCAGGAAAGGTCAGTCTTAATGTAAGGCCAAACGTACGTACTATATCATTCCTCTAAGCACAGGTCTCTCATGTAAGCATGGCCCTTGCAATGTCTTGTTCTCAGCACAAATTACATGCGGTAGTGCAGAAGCTTGTCAACAATTTGCATATTCAGCACGTCTACGTACGACGAAACAACGCTAGCGATAGCTTGATACTGAAGATGTCCTAACAATTAAGCTTAAAAGATTCCTTATTCAAAGTTGGTTTTAGAGGAGAATGTCTTCATAATGTACTCTGAATATGCCATTCTAGCAAAGGGGCTTAAAACTAGTATGTTTTGGATTGGCTTAGCCTGCATTTTGAGAACGAGTAAGATTGATGAATTTTAGAGATTACAAGCTATAATGACAATTGAAATACTTTAAGTCCAAGATAATAAGTTCTTTCATACAGAAAAGGATTGAGGGGGTTTTCTAAATAATAATAACTTATTTTAATCATTATTATTATTTTTTCCTATTGGCTTATGAGCCTTGAAATATCTAATAACTGCTAAAGGACCTCTCTCCATCTCCACGAAACGAAATTTATAAGACAGAGCGGCCGAGATAGCACCCAGAAAATATTTATGGTCCATGTGCTGTAAAACGAGATTGAGGTCGGTCGATATGTAAGCTCATCGCACAATTGTCTCCACTACAATATATACGAGTTTAAACTGGACTATCCAGGCACAAATTTTTAAATCTAAATTGTTGAGAACTTATCGTTTTTTGTAACAGCTAAAAGTAGTGTGTCAGAATTTGCAGAAAAAAAAAAAAATTTACTTTCATGATTTCGATTCTTAGTTTTTAAGGTAAAGGACGATGGTAAAGGTCCAACTTCTTGGTTAATTATCCTTTTCAAGGTCTGGAATGTGAAAGGTAGCCGAATTAAATAACAACAACTGGATGGCCCAAATAGTGATGATTTTATGATTTTTGTAAAGTCATTTTTTGTTAACTTGTTAGAAGTGGTTCCATAATATGCAATAAACAAATGTAAAATAACACATGAAAATACCGGGAATGTTCGTGATCTAAATCGCGCCCCCTCTCAAATAAACACCTCTTTCCTATTTACCCCCCCCGCCCCCCTTACATTGTTAACAATGCCAATTTCAGCACGGAAGCACACACTACCAAATCTGCCGCATGGCGAGTACCTTGCGCATCCGTAATACAGCCATATCGCCCGGACAAAGCCAGCCAGTGTAACGGTGCTGACCATACCCGCGGAGTTGGTAGGGTGTGTTTTAATGCTGAAATTGGCATTTCTTACGCCCGTCTCAAACGCTCCCCGTCTAATAGACGCCCCAGTGACAACCGCCCCGTCAAAATACTAGGAATTAGCTAAAAGGAGTAAAATCATTCAATTTACGCAGTTTCTTAGTTGTAGTTAACAAGGGTTTGCGCATTGCATCTTGCTCAATGTCAAATTCAAAGCCTAGTAAGGATTGGTAGCGATGACAACACCGAACGACCCTGAAGGAGGATTCTGACATCGAAGATGGATCTCTAGACGCCCCTAGGGATAGACTAGATATTCTGCTTTTTATAAACTCTCTCATTTAGTTTTGTTAAGTTTCTTAGTCATGAGAACAAACGCCCCTTGGACCCCTAAAATTAATAAATCATGGTTTGAATCCAGGAGTCATATGCTATAGTAGGAAAGTGGAATCTAGGTGAGGGGCGAGTGTAGTCTCAGTGTTGTTAACCGTGACTACAGTACTGTCAACATGGTTTGTGTATAATTATAATCCAGAGCTGCACGTTGATATAAATCATCGACATTTATTTTACTGACAGTTAATATTATATCATTATTCTAATTTTTAGCAAAACTTGTCTTCAGGTAGTCAGCTCGATCTAGAGTTACAAATCAAAAGCAGGAGACCAGTCCCATTGCTAGGGCGCTTCCCATTAACCAAGAAATTTCAGTTGGGGTGTTAATGGAACACACGTTTTACGTACGTTCCACTGAAAAATTCCCGGAAATAAGTGAATTTTGTAAAGGTAGTCCTGTTTACCCGTTGGAAACTTTCCAGTGGAAATGCATGTTCCATTTACAAGTTTTCATAAGGAATCACCAGTTCCAAGCTATTCACGGCGATATCTGTGTCACCATCTTGAATTTTGTTGACGAGCATCAAAAAATGGAACTTGTGTCAAATGGAACACGTTCTTCATTCGATGGGCCTCTCCCGTCATGGAAGTTACTCAAAAGTTTTTAGTAAATGGAAAGCGCCCCAAATCACTCATCTGTTCCCCTTCCTTCCCTTGGAGTTCAGTATATTCCCCCCAGATGTGCCATGCCGGCTAACATGCAAACCATTCCACAGTCCCTCAGTTTTCTTGGAAAAGCACGCAGTCGCGTTGTGGTTGAATTGACTGTTTTATAAGAACATATTCTCAAGCTAAGAAAAAGATTCACGCTCTAGCAAAGAGAAAAGATGTCAATCCACAAAAAAATCCACCTTTTTAACTGCGATCAACTCTACGAACTCTGTGTTATCGAGGATTTACTAAACTCCTCCAAATCGATGCTACATCACAAACTTGGTTTCGATTCACAGTGGAGAATCATTACTTCTCCCTTTCTGAAATGGCGTAATTGAGTCTGAGAAAGTCATCCCCGAACTGCAGATGAATTTTGCAGTTTTTGTTGTTCACGCTCACGAATCGCGTCTTTCGATAAACGATGGTCGCGGTTATACCAAGTTTTACAGAGCTCTATTGCAAAATACAGGTAAGAATTTAAATTAACGCTGCCTGTGATATGTCTCATTGTGATTGCAACTAAATTGCAAATATTTATGACAGATGTTTATGGCCGGGTATGTGCAAACAAGTATGAAAGACCAACACAACTTTGGACTAAGGACTTGGAAATCAATATTAATGTGACCGGCCTTGTATTGCGCGTTCCCCGAACGATTCATCACGCGGCTGGGTGCTTTTTTGACTAAAAATTAGCAACATTCTGAACATTAATTTTGCAAAGCAACACTAGCACCCTGTAAGATCCTGTAACCTTAGCCACTCTATGAGAAAGGATTACGGATATTTTTTAATAAGAGGGCTTATTTCTCAGAAATCAACTTACAAACTCGGTGAACAAGTCTTAGCTAAATAACGTGCAAAATGCTAAATGGAGAGTTTATCAGCAATCAAGGATGTGTCACAGTGTCACAGTGGTACATATAGCTGAAGCACTAATACCCACTGGGGGGTCCATTTTTGGGGGCTAATTTGGCACCCTTAGCCAGGGCCAATGTAATCCAATTATCGGAGGCTGATTTGGACCCACTGGGTGAAATAAACTCCCAGCGTGGACTGGAATGGGCATTTGCTGGGGAAGACCTTAGATACACAATGACCTCAACCAGGGTCATTGTTATAAAGGATTTTCATTTGCTGGGGCTGTTTTATTGGTTCAAATATGGTTCCACATCACTGAGACTGATCAGCTTTTGCCTGGGGAGCCATTTACATCAAGAGAAAGACCATTCTCTCTTGTTTACATTGATTACCTTTAATATTATGTACATTCAAGAGACTCTATCGAATCCCCCATCACTTTGCAACGTACAAATAAAATCGAAGGAAATGCAATGTTGCAATGTTGTTGTAGCCACGTAACTTTGCAATCACATCCTAACATTGCAGAGGGAAAGGGAAGTGGAAAGGTGTTGAAAGGTTTTTTGGCGTAGATTGTAGGTTCGATGACGACCGTCACCGGTAACTTTCCCAGTCAAAGAGTTATTTTAGCACCAAAAGTAGAGTGAAAGTTATAAGAACAAAAAAATCCATTTTTAGATGTTTTTTAACTTCATTGTTTTCTCCAAATTTAAGACGATTAATATATACTCTTATATCAATAGTGCTGATGTAAAAATGAAAAAATAATAAATCCAATTATTTCTTTGGAGTCAATGTACCTCTATTCCACTTTTAGGAGTTATAAAAATACACTGTGCATTATAAACGGACTTCTCGGGCCTTTTCACCGGTTCTCACTGCACTGACGGTTAAAACGAAATCCACCGCGGGTTATCAATCAGTCAACTTCAGCTCAAATGGGCAAATTAAAGCTGAAAGGACGAGTAAAAAGAATAGTATTCAGACAGTTCGTCCCATCTGAGTTGAAATGCTCGGAATCGCCAGAGAATCGGGACGAATTTTTCAGTCATACGAAGGATACCAAACAGAGCGCTTTTTCTAGACAAAAGTTTCTAAAAGCGACTCCTACTTTCTCAGTTTCTTTAATATGGTTTTTTAGTTTTAAATTACCATGCTGAAGAGCAGAGAAAAATCATTTCAAACGTTTGGAAGTTGTTGTATGACAATACAAAGCTGTATCCCTTTATTAGTGTTTGAAGTTGATATTTCTCAGTCTTTATGTTCGTTTTTAATTTAGCGAAAGTTAGCAGTTCTAGAGTAACGAATCATAAGGAGACCAGATTGCTACCTGATGACACCGAACGTCCCATTGCTGGAGACCAATATGCTACGCATTCTAGAAACTTCAAATAACTCCTCTTTACTCACTCCCTTCCCCTGGAGTTCAGCATTTAGCTCCCCACCACCACCACAGCCCCGGGTTTCATGCGTGCTAATATGTTAGGTATTGTTTCCTTGGGTTTCTTGGAAAAGTCAGTGAAGAGAGACGCTGTCGCTTTGTGGCTAAATTGACGGACACTGTTTTATAAAACACCTTTTCAAGGTATAAGAATAGGCCGGTGTCACGCACTAGCAACGAGAATATATGCCAAGGCAAAGAAAGATCGATCTTTTTAACTGTGATCAGCTCTACGAACTCCGTGTCATCGAGGATTTACTAAACTCCTCCAAACCGATGCTGCATGACAAACTTGGTTTCGATTTCACAGTGGAGCATCACTACTTCTCCCTAACTGAAATGGATGAATTGAGTGAGAAAGTTATTCCCGCACTAAAGATGGATTTCGCAATTTTCGTCGTTCACGCTAAAGAGTCACGTCTGTCGATAAACGATGGCCGCGGTTATACCAAGGTATACAGAGCTTTAATGAAAGCTACAGGTAAGAATTCAAAACGCCTCCAGTAATACGTCTTATTATTGCAGTTTTCATTGAATTGCAAAGATACAGTACAGATCTTTGTGGCAGGAGTGGACAAAAAATTAAAAGGGGGTCTCAATTGGGTTAACCGTCAGCCGTCAGTTTATGTGATAACCGCGTCAACCGTCAAAACGATAATTGTTGGTTTTCACATGACGACACTAAAATTTAAACTAAAAAACTATCCATCCTACCGAGAATTTACTTTCACAGTGCATTAAAGCAGCTGAAAACTTATTTTCATACAAATTTTCGCTGCAAAAGGGTCCTTGGTTTTGTGATAGAGTACGCTTGAATTTTTAAGCTTTTGAGTGACGCGGCATTTACATGACGGCAAAGAGATCTGTGATGTAGGTTAAAAAAATGACTTATTTCAGGAAAGTTTGCCATCTAAACAGTTCATGTTTTAGAAAAAAAATTACTTTAATGTTTATGAGTTTCTCGAAGAATAAATTCACGCTTTTGTAGCAAAACTCGGTAACAGATGTTTCTGTTGGTTTCCGTCCACCATGTTGGAGCTCATCCAGGTGAGCACCAGCATGGCGTCTGCATACAAATCTCTATAAGTTTGGGTAAAACATTTCTTCGGATATGTCGTATACGAAATATTCCTCTGACCTGAATCTTGGCGAGGGTCTTTGCATATGTACCTCCTTTCATTTCCCAGATTCTGGACTTTATCAATTGAACGGTTTTGGTTTTTATTTTGATCTATTGTGAATGGCATGACATTGAAAACCAGCAATTATTTACTGCAAGAGAAACAATTCGAGCCAATCGAGCGATATAAGATGCGAGTTTCCTTCGGTGAGGACCAAATGGACGCATTGCGAGTTTTAGGGTATTGCCTGGGGGGGAGGATACTTCTGGGGATTCTTGGTGGGGGTGTGCCGCCCAGTTCTTCAAATCCTGACCCTATTTCAGACCAAAAAATGTAATTTTCTACACCCGTTTTCAGACCAGACCTCTAAAATCCATACCTGTTTTCAGACCTGGCCGTTACGCAGAAATTATTTTACCATTACTTAGATTGGAGGGCAAACAAAAAATTTCTTCAAATCCATTTCGAATTCGCATATTTCTTTTTCTTTCTTGCTCATTTGGAATTAGAAACGATAAATACCTTCATACACTCCGTAGTTCCCTCGAAAACCATACTCGGTTCCAGACCAGAATGGGCGAAGTGTCAACCCGTTTTCAGACCAAAACGGCCCAAAAACCCTACCCGATGGGGAGGCACATACTTACGTACGTTACGTAAGGGAGTATCCCCCCCGGAGGCTATGGATAGCTTGTTACTGGCACGACTGAAAATCATACCGGATAGGGCTTCTGTTCACACATAAGAACGGTCACTTCGGCACGACTTCTGTGACGGAGCGAAGCTGGGCCGCGCCGATCTCTCAGTGGATCGGGAGTCACATATCGGATAGGTGCTCATACTATCCCGGATAGCTTTCCGTGTGGTACGAAAAGCTATCCAGTATAGCCGGGTGAAAATAGCCTTAATCTTCTTTTTATTGCCAAGTAATTAATATGACAGAGCTGTGCGAGAGTCTGTATTATTCTTGTTATGACAGGTGAACTTATTGTATGACCTGTATTTTTTCGTGACCAACTATTTTGAAAATATTTATATTAGTTATATGTTTTATGTAAGCTGGAAAAATTTCACATTGTTTCATAAGTGAAAGCAAGAGAGGATAAAGAGTTTTATCCTCTCTTAGTGAAAGACCACAACGAGCTCCAAAATCGTGAACTTAGATCTTAAAAATACAAAAATTATAAATATTCACTTTAAAATTCCTTAGATGAAATTTCCTTGATAACCTTCATCCGTCAAAAGCCCTACAATTTAAACCAATCGTCAAAATGGGCAGCATTTAACCGTCAACCTTCAAAGCTAAACTCCCATTGAGACCCTCACAAAACCATTGGAAATCAATGTGACACCGTTTAGTTGTACGCACTCATGAGCAATTGGTGTGTTGTGACTGAAATGCGCCACACTGATTTGCATTGCTAAACAAGAGCCCCTATAACAGTCTTATAACGAGCAAGAATTAACAAATTACTCACTCGATCCCCAACCTACCAAGACGGAGTATATGCTGCTCAGTAGACGTGGGCTACTGACTGGGCCAAAACAAGCTATTAAGATGGGTGATTACTATAGAGGAGATTGTTTCTACAAGATGCTTAGGTGCTAGATAGACAATGCTCTTAAATGGGATCTTCACGTATCGGAAATAGCGAAGTCGTTTACGCAGAAGTTGAACTTACTTATTATTAAAGCACTGCGGTTTCCTGCCTAGAAAGGCGAGAACTGATTTCTATTTTGGGGTTATTTTGCCCTCTGTAACGTATGGAATGTTAGTTTGGGGCTCTTGTGGTCAAGTACTTTTCTCAAACCTAGAATCTATACTGTTAGAGCGGCAAAAATAAAATTTAACTTAGATTGGTGTACGTCAGGCCAAGAGGTTCTTGCCGCTGCAAAATGGAATACCTTAGAGTTTACGTATGAGAAACGATTATTAATTTTAGCGCATCAGGCTTATTATCATCTTTTACCATGTCCTATGAACTGTCTTTTTGAAAAGTATGTAAGTAGCTACAATCTCAGAAGGAAAATGACCTTTAAGTTGCCTAGGCCTAAGACCGATGTGGTCAAGAAATCGTGCTCATACAAGTCAATTATTCGGTGGAATGCCCTGGAAAACTAAATGAGATCAATTCATGACATTGACCCTTTTAAAAAGTCACAAGTGTGTTTTTAAGCCACATATATTATAATGATGTACTGTGTATAAGAATTTTTATTGTTGTAATTGTAAATACGTAGAATTCTTATATTAGTCTTATTGTGCTTAGTGAAGAAGTTTAATTTTGTTGTTTGTATATACGACCACTGCTAACAAAACAACTCAACCTCGTCTCCAGGTTTTCTCGGTTAACGGTTCAATAATCTACAACTTTCGCTTCAATTTTGACGTCATCGGTTCAATATGGCAAAATTCTTCCAAATTTGGTCAACAGTAGCTGGTTATGATATGTGTGTGGTTTTAGCCAATCAGAAACGGAGAAATATTTTGAATGAATAATAATACGCAATATTACACTTTAAATGAATTTCATTGTTTTCTTTTGTTTACTCCTTACCATTTGGAGCTAATTGTTACGTAATATATCATGCATGCGACAAGTCACTGCGTTTCATCACCAGATGAAACACTGAGAAGAGAGCTGAAAATACGACGCGCAGCGGAAGAATTTTTGGCGGACTTCCAGGAGTTTCATCTGTGTCAAATGCCCGATATTACTTCTCAAAAAAAAAAGATTTTAGAACGAGAAATTAAGGATGCAAAACCGAGCAGTTTTTCATCTGATTACCAAACACTAATTAAACACTTTAAAATTTTCTTTGTATTTTTTAAGAAATATTAATGAGTTGAAAAATATTGTTTATTCATGGCATTAGTAAAATCACTCTAACTCGGCTATTATTACTGTACTAATAACCTGAGTCCAGTTATTTCGACTTGTAATCAATAGCTACTTCCTGCTGTCATGAATTCGGTGCGAAACAGATGATTCGTATTTGCTTCCGATTGATTTGTTCTCAGTACACGTTCATGGTTGCAGCCATAATGTCATGATAACAGTATTCATCGTTCGTTTTTAAAATTCGGCTACTGTAACATGCTACTTGGATCTAACAGTGACCAGTCTTCCCAAAAACAAGGTCAAGTTTCTCTAAAGGATATCCTCTTTTGGTAGGAGGCAATGTTATCTTGTTATTGGAGCAGATGACAACTACAAAAACGAAGAGGAGGAAGAACAATCATTTATCTCGCCGTGGGCCCGAAGAATTGTCTGTGTACAGTTCAACGAAGAATATTTGGATGGCAGGAAAAGCTTCGTCTTTTCCTGGGGCGAAAAACACAGGCAAATTCACGTGGAAGCTCTGATGCATTTTTTTTGATCCAGACAAGAATGGTGAAAAATTTAAATATCAGCTGCCAATAAAAGCAGACCCAACCTCGAAGGCCAGACGAAAAACCACGGCTGAATCCATTCCAATAGAAGCGGAAGAAAACAAATGCTCCTCAGATATTGGGAAAATTACTCAAGGAAAGCGTGCTTTTATTACTTATACATCTTATGATTTATTATATTTTCCCCAACCAGACATTAGATCACTGAAACACAAGTGAGTAGGGATAGGGGATGGTTGAGCCCATTGCGCTTCGGCAGTTGCCACTCGTGTCAATTCGCTTGTTTATTCATCAAATAAAAGTAGGAGAGAGCAAAGCTTTAATTAGGAACAGTGGTCTTTTTTCACGAGTGAGGTCGATCCTTTCCAGGGACGCATGGTTGACCACATACAACTTACAGCTACTTGCAAGACGATCCTTTCATCGACTTCAGTGTTTTTGTTTGCAGTTTGTCTTCAGTCGCTTGTTAGTTTTTTCTTTTTTCTTTCAACCATCATAATCCGGTGGAGGTAATTCGTACCCTGTTCCCCTGTAGTCTTGGCAATGCATTTAGAGTAATTAGAGGTGCCAGTGTTTAATTGTTTTCACTTACAGGCTTGGCAGTTCTCGGTTCTAGCGTAGGACTGGAAATTCCTTCTTATGGACAAAAGGATCAAAGCTACAAAACTAGAGAAATCAGCCCAGCAGGTATCGGAAGCCAAGGGGCTGGGCATCAAAGGGCTATAGGATCAACAATGGTTGCAAACCCTTTGAACTCCTCACACGTAAAGCTCGCCTCTACGGAAGGGACAAATATTCCCCCAATGGAGAAAGGACCAGAATTCAGTAATAGAGACATTGGTAGACCTGGCATCCAAAGTCAAGGGGCTAGACCTAGGGGAACGAAGTCGTTCACAAAACAGCCACAGGAAACTAATGAAGGTTAGCAAATTTTACACTCAGTATTTGAACTGTTAAGTTGAAAGTAATTTTTAACCACTAAACATCTAATAATGTTTGTTCCGCCTTCATTTTTAACCACCGCCTGCTTAGCTCATTTGGGAAAGCGCCTGTCTGCCGAGCGGAGGTCGCGGGTTCAAACCACGGTCAACCAATACTCAGGGTCTTGAAATGACTGCGAAGAAAGATCTGACTTTGTAATGACATCTGCAAATGGTTAGACTTTCTAGTCTTCTCAGAGAGGGTTGTCCGGCAATATTGTCGACATGATACGAGTGGAGAGATCCAGTTGTCGAGTGGACAAATGCATCTCATTAAGGGTTCAAGCTTGCAACAAACAGTTGCATGTTGAATTTTGTAGCGTTATGTAGGCAGTTTTTTTGCGAATTTGCAACTGGACAAACTTCGATTCCATATGATCACTACGATCGCTGCACAGAAAAATGTTCAGCGATCGAAGGGATCATATGGAAACTACTCTACAGCAATCGTAGCGACAACGATCTCTGAAATACGCGGCACCTAACGACGGTTTTCTCCCAAATACATTGAAACCTTTTTTAGGCTATGCAGAGCATTTTTAGATCTCTAGAAATACATTCTAAGAGGAGCCATAAAATTTGTATCTGTTCGGTCATCCTAGGGCAACCACTGAGTCTTTTTGGAATTACTAGGGCTTGAATATTGTTTTCCTTAAAATTTTAGGTGAAATTTGACGTATTACAAAAGTGAGACATTTTTATTTTTTTGATTCCTCTCTCTATCTCACTTTTGAATCCGAAAATTTTAGGTGTCCTTTTTTTTTACGAAAAATAGCTTAACTTGGGAAGTGAAATGTGAAAATTAAGGTTCAGAAAATCGTAGGGAATTTATTAGATAACCTTCGAAAATTGCACGGTGGAACTCCGTTAATACGGTCACCAATGGGCCAAAAAAATTGGCCGTTATTAACGGGGTGGCCGTATTAACGAGGTTTTTTTTTACAAGAAAATGTATGGCGGTTTTTGCCAAGCGGCCAAAAAAGTGGCCGTAATAACGAAGCGGCCGTAAGGCGGGGTTTCACTGTACGTGAATGGGACGGTCATCAAGAAATTTTTAGCTGTCCACAAGTAACAGAAAATTCTAGGCAATATTTGCTTCTCCGAACAGATATTTTACAGAAATTAGTCGGTGGGTACCCCTTCAGTGTAATAAAGTTCAGTTATATCTTAAGCCCGGTTTCCATGTGTAGAACACTTGTTCCTTCGCGTGGCTCATATCGGATCTTTGCTTAAAGAACGAGGCATACACAGTGTGTAGCGCGCAAATGTTCTTTCGCGTGGCTTATGTCGCATCTTTGCTTATAGAGAACGAGGCATGCACAGTGTGTAGGGCGCTGTTCCTTCGAGTGGCTCATGTCGGATCTTTGCTTACGAACGAAGAATACACAGAGTGCCGCGTGCTTGTGCAAGTTCCTTCCCTTGGCTTATGTCGGATCTTTCCTTAAAGAACGAGGCATACACAGTGCGTAGCGCCGTGCTTGTTCCTTTGCGTGGCTTATGTCGGATCCTTGCATGGGATCACTTACGGTTTCTGGGAACGGAGTCATCTTTCTACCGACGCTCAAAAATAAATAAATAGACCCCGAATTTCCAAGCGGTACCTCAAAACTCGACGGCGAGGACGACTTAATGGCACTCCATGACACGACGAGGATGACTCTATGGGTTCTATGAGACTCGATGAGGCACGTCGACTCGACGAGGACGATTCAACGTACGAGACGATGACTCGACGAGGATAACTCGAGGAGACGCGATGACTAGAAGAGGATGATTCGACCAGGCAAAATGAGTCGACGAGGACTACTGGATGAGTCACGACGAAGAATATTTGAATCCCAAAATTACAGTAGTCAGGGATTTTTGAGAGCGGAATTCAGTTGACAGTTGAATGGGACATTTGTTTTGCGAATTGCGCTTACAATGATATTTTTTTTTCCATTATTTTAAATGTTCTATTTTTATTGACACTGCATGTGGTCTTTTATCCAGTTTATTCGGCTTTTTTATGTTACTCATCCATGCATTGTTCTGAGTACTATAGTTTCATTTCATTCTCATTTATTACTGGGCTGCCTGTGCCAAGCCCAGTTGTAAAATGGGATTGCTTTTTCCTTCTGGCACAAATCGCACTCTGGCGTGATCATTGCGTGCGCAAGATAAATGTATGCGTAGAATAGATCAGCGGACTTCAGCAGAGTACATTCCAAGGAGCTCGAAGCACTCAAAGCTTCTATCTTCGGTGGAAGCATACGAATGCAAACATGAACATACGAATGTAAACGCTGTTGATGGTTAGCCCACAGTAAAAGATGGCATGAGTACATTTTGGAAGTGGTATAGTTCATGAACTATACCATGCGAGAGACCCATTTACAAGCGAACCCTTCCGAGTGAGTCTTTTATCGGGAAACCTTGTACAGTAAGTGAGCTACCTACTGAGTTAGAAGCGCTAAACGAATCACCCAAATTAACTGTTTAACTCAAACTATTCGGTACGTAAACATTACGAGCAACTGGATCAGTGAAATTCAACAGTGTTTTTGATCAGCACAACGGCCTTATGGAAGAATTCAGTACTTCAATAGCCAGCTTTTAGATAACAATATCCTTGCTTTTACATTTAATTTTTGCATTGATTTCATTGATATTATCTTTCTTTGTTTTTATTAATTTTTATACAATCATTGTAAAACTTGCAAACTATGGACCTGTTCTGGGTTCCCCACGATTCTTTGCCTCCTACGTAGGTAACAGGAGCCAGAAATGTTAATGGCGCATTGTCCAGTGCAAGCGAACTAAGATGCGGAGTCCCACAGGGCAGTATTCTCGGTCCTCTGTTTTTCTTAATCTATATAAACGATCCTCCAAACAGCCTTAATACAGCATGCGCTAAAATGTTCGCAGATGATACAAATATTAGCATTTCTGGTTCCTCTCTAGCTAACCCTGAACAAGAGACTAACTCAGAACTACTGAACCTTCACTGTTGGTTACAAGCCAATAAGCTTAGTCTTAATGTTGCGAAAACCGAGTTTATGGTTATTGGCTCTCGCCAGAAACTTCTTGCGGAAAGCCATATAACGAAATAAACATCAAACTAGAAGACCAAGTTATCAGCAAAGTTGATCACGCAAAATCATTAGGTCTCATTATCGACAATCGGCTTTCCTGGTCTAATCATGTTAACGAATTGTGTAAGAAGGGAACTTCGGCTATAGGTGCCCTTAGACTTATCAGCTGGGCCCGGTTGCATAAAACCTACACTTAAGTGCCCACTTACGTAGGTCACTTACGAATCCGTTATGGATACACTTACGGGTGTTGCATGAAACGCACTTAGCACTCTCGTAAGTTACTGTTTTACGTGGTAACTTACGGGCTCACTTAAAGGCACACGTAACTTTGATATAGTACTTTATTTTGTCACTCTTTTTTTTTTAAGCTAATCATCGGTGAGTGTAAAGAAAGTTTTAAGTCGTTTCGAATACTTTTAAGCCTCTCAAAAAAATGAAGTTGCCAGCAATCCTTATTTTTCTCTAATGTCTACTGAAAATGATAATTCTTCTTCTTTTTTTCACAACGTCGGCTTTAAAGTGTACATCAGAGGTTAACAAAGCGCATTAGAACGAATTACGTGAAGAAAAATTACTTTTTTCACTTCTCAGTAAAAGATTTCGTTAACTTTAGTAAAAACAGTAACCGTACGGGACCTACATAGGTCCCGTAAATTTACGTGCTATTTTTCCCGTAAAAAAACGTTTTATGCAACTCCCGCAATTTCTGTTGCATAAACGACACTTAAGTGAACACTTACGAAAATCGTAAGTGCGACCACTTAAGTGAATTTCCTAAGTGGACCACTTAAGTGATTTAATGCAACTCACTTAAGTTACGAGTGCACGTACGTATACCCTTGGTTGTTACGGGCGTTTTATAGAACCGGGCGGCCCTGCAGGCCCCTTATCTCCCAATCTACCGCGGTGGCTAGATTCAACCTCACTTTGATTACTATAGCCTCGTTTGGGACAGCTTAAGTGATCAACTGAGTGACAAGTTACAAAAATTACAGAACCGTGCAGCTATAGAGTAATTTTAAAGGGCAACTATGGGACTAGCTTCTTCAACTATGAGCCTGCTTCTTGATAGACTCAAATGGGACAAATTAGTTATAAGGAGAAAGAAGCATAAAGCGATAATGATGTTTAAATCTCTAAATGAACAAGCTCCAGTGTACTTGCAGAACCTATTTCACGAACGAAGCACTGACTATGATTTGCGCAGTTCCTTTCATGACATTGCCCAGGCCGCGTACTAACTACTTGAAACGAAGTTTCAGTTACAGCGGTGCTTTGTTGTGGAACTCTTTACCGGAAAATGTGAGAGGAATTAAATCAATCAGGAAATTCAAAGAGCAAATCAATCATCTATTCGAGTCGTCGGACTCTCACTCGGCAGTCTTGTAAAACAGTATGTCGGTAGTTTTTAGTCTAATTAATTGTAATTAGATTTTTACGCTATTGTTACTGAAGATTTCACAGAGTTTTAAATAAAGGATCTACCTACCCACCTACCTACCTACCTACCTACCTACCTACCTACCTACCTACCTACCTACCTACCTACAGTTCTTTTAAAGTAGGCAGAGGCCATAAACTGATCACAAACCGAATTACCAGTTTGAACAGTACCTTCTGTGTCTTTAGTGATTTCTTCATTGCTAGTGCTGCACTTGGGCGCCAACACCTCAAAAACCTCAGCAGACGTAGCCTCCCACGCAGGCGTTTTTAGGGGAGCTCGTTTTTCATGGGGACGAAAGACAAGCTCCCCTAAAAAACGCCTGCGTGGGAGGCTACAGCAGACGTAACTTCACTAATCTTTTCATACTTAAATGACCAGTTACTCTAAGACAGTGGCTAGTCTTGCGCTTAAAGCTTTCTTCTTTGCACAGCGACGGTAGTATGTTATTGACAATGTTAATTCCCACAGGTTGTTTGTCAAAAGCAAAACGCTTAGAATTTGACTTAAAGTAAAACACTGTTACTTCATTAGAGTAAGCTTGCACTAAAACGAGATACATTTGATATATTTCAACAAGACAACATTCGTGTTTCTCCTTTAAAGGATGACAAACGTGCTTTAATACACGTGGCTCGTATTCAAATCAGTAAGATTACCGTGAAAAGGTTTCACTACGTTTTCTTCGAAACTAATTAAATTCAAACCAGCATCAAAATTTGCTACAGTTATATTTCTATGTTTACCGCCGCGAAGCCCAAATAACTTTCCGTTATAATAATAAACTGTATGGAGCAATGATTTGCTTGACTTACAACCTGAAGGTCCTAATTCTCAGAACTTTTGTTCTTCATTTTCTGTGACCGGCACCTTCTCTTCTTTCTTGTTTTTAAGAGTGACTCCAGCCCTTGTTCCATCCTTCATTTCAGCATCAAGCGCTTTACGAAAGATTCTAAACCCTAGAAAACAGAAAAGAAACATGGTTAACGTTTAGTACAACCAAGAAAGACAAGAATCTAAAATGGGCACTGTGAACTCTACAGAAAAGATGTGGCGGCTAATTACCACCAAAACTCTACCTGTTATCCAAAGTACTCAGCAAATTTAAATCATCACCGGTCTTTTTCTCTGCAAGGCTTCGACGGATGCCGTCAATATTACGGGGGAAGATTTCGCTGCCTCTTACACAAACTTAGAAAGCCAGTAATTCAAAGACAAGGCGTTCATCACCGTCAAAGATGTATCCAGCGACTGAACCAAATGAAACTCGTAATCTTTGAATAAACCACTGACTTCAAAATTGGGTACCTTTATCAATCTCTCTTTCTGCCACTGTTCGAATATTTCATAGGCCCATCTATCTTTGTAACGCGTGGACTTTGGCACGGCACTTTCCAGCAAATTGGCCTCTTCATCGGCTGATTTTACTTGCCGAAAACGTGATAAAGCCATTGCAGAAGAGAGTGAAGACTTCAAAATTAAACCTTGATTTTATAATCATCCACAGCATTGTGATAACATTGCTCGCACCCTTTCTGAAATGACAAATCGCCATAACAATACAATTTTTCGTAACAACAAACTTGCCAACAACATGTGAAAAATTCGTAAATATTTCCATTTTCTTTTATTCCTGAGGCGCGATTGAGAAGATCAGGAAGATGTTTCAAAAACCCGTGCAATCGGGTTACATCAGGGTTTCCAAACAGTCGAAAACCATAAAAGTTTTGTCGAGTTTGGAAACCCTGCATGATGAAACCCTCGCACTAGTTTTTGAAATAGTAACGTGACCGCTTTATACAGGTCAAATGTACAGAAGTATGGCGATATTTTCGGTAAGTTGTCCGGTCACGGACCGTTATATACAGAGTGACAGCTATATACTGGGCCGCACTGGGTTTGACTGTATTTTTCTTTTAATATAACTAGGTGAAAGCGATCATTCAGTTGGAAGTGATCCCTTTCAAAGTGATATATCTCAGAACGCCTCGTCGAGTGGCTATAAACCATTTCACAATGGCAAAGAAGGCAGTTTTCGCCGTATGGGTGAAAGCCTTTCTTTACTCCCTTTATTTGACTCTCTATTAGGCTATCTTTTAAAAAATCTAAAACTTGTCTTCACACAGCCTCCTCCTCGGGGCTTTTCCTCAAAGTCCCTAGGAACGAGGTTGGTCTTCACATCAATTGAGTTCCAAAAATAATGAATCCTGGGTTTTGTTATTCAAGACTATATTCGGAAGCATTGAAACTGTTTGGTCTGTCGCAAAGGATGGCAAGGATGGACACAGATTGAAACTTGAAAACGTTGAGCCAACTTTTTCAATTTTTAATGCTCAGTATCTGCTAAAATCACCCAAAAAGTTATGGTTAGTGCTCCCTGATGAAATTTGTTTGGTATCTACTGCACAACTCTAAGGGAGCATTTTGTTTATGGTGAAGGCACTAAGTAATGACTTAAGCACAGAATAGACCTTAAAAGAAGAAATATCCTCGTGACATAGCCCCTACACTAAAACGTAAAGAACGGAAATAACGGTTTGTTTTACTTTCATTATTTACCAGCTCTGTCGATCATCGGATGGGATGCGAGTCCAGAAGCCATGTCAGCTGTTGTTGAGCTGATAAACAGACATCGCGACTTACTGAACCTTGGTACTGATACTGATTGTTTTAACGGCTCTGGTATAAACGACGTGATATCATATTTTGAACACAACACGCTGAAGTATTGCGTGCTCGTTGCTGATGCTGACAAAATCCAGGCTGTACTTGAACAAGAAAGAAACCTGAGGCTTCTACAAATTGCAGATAGGAATGTTGGTAAGTTTCTTAACACACACTGGTTTACACCCGGAATTTTAATTTCAACTTCTTATCGTGCTTGTATCAGAAAACTATAAACTGGTTTCTATATAGGAGCACACCACTCTGAACGGGCGAGAACTAAGCCTTTGACCGCTCTCGCGCACGTTTTCAAACAGGCTAAAATACGGGTGCAGTTTTGCAGTCTGCAATGATCCTAGTTTGAGAGGTTTTTCAATAATTATAGTAGGTAGAATGACTCAATTATCACTTTCAGAGCTTATAACTCGTATTATTAAAAACTGAATCATTGGATAACGCAATTATAGCTTTTTGATTGGCTTAGCCATCATGGTATATTATACACTTAATGTCAGACCCCTAGGGAAACAGTTAGTTTTGTTTTCCCGAGAGTCCTGATGTTTCCTGAGACGAAGTCGAGGGAAACATCAGGATTCGAGGGAAAACAGAACTAAGGGGCCGACCATTTAACTCTTGAGGGGTGTGGTGGGTGATTTCTGGTCACCAAGAATTTTTTTTTTCCTAGCAGTCTGGTGGTCAGGATATTTTTTTCCCTTTTTTCCCCATAAGCTTTCTATTACATTTGTGCTGCATGCAATTTTTTTCTTCCGACAAGCGCTTGCAGGAATTTTTTTCTCAAAATCAGCCCCCCCCCCCCTCGAGAGTTAAATGGTCAGCCCCTAACTGGTTTCCCGAGGGACCTGACATTAAGTGTTTTGTTGCATTTCTAGACTTTCACATTGGCGTACTTAGTTCAACAACAACAAAGAATACGCTTAAGCGGAGCAATCAAAACAGTCCTCTCGGTACTTATAAGAACACAAATTTACTTCTCAAAACCACTGAATGAATGATTTACAAACTACTTTCGTTATATTATCTGCATCTTTTTCCTCCACTAGCTGCTGTTTCGTTTCTGGGATAACTTGGAAAATCGTTACTTTTTAGCTTTTTAGCTTCATGTTTGTGTTGTTGTGTTCATTTACGAAAAAGAAAACTGGCAGTGTTTTTCCCGCCCTCTGGCACGACACTTTCCACCATGCTTTGACCACGTGCTGTAATGTATCCCGAACGGGGGGTGCATTGCGTAATGTATCGCGATCGGGATACATTTGATTTTAGTCAAGGCCACGTGACCATGAATCAGCCAATGGCTGTCCTTGTTTAGTTGAGCGAAAGTCTAGGAATATAACATGTCATATCCAACGCGCACTCTTTGAATAATTGTTAAATATAAACTTTTAATAACACGCTTTCATTCTCAAAATGTCTTTAGCATGCGCCCATTTACCGCCTTTCCCACCATCCGTGAAGGACTCTTACTAGTCCCAGACCAGCGACATGCCCTCAACTCTTAACTCCTTTTATAACTAAAGTTATTGTAATTAGATCAAAGTGATTTATATTAGCTTAAAAACTGTTCATTTATGTGTTTTAACAGACTATACATTTATTACCTACATTAAACTGTTATATTAAGACAAGAATGATGTTTTACGACATCAACGCAACGTTAAAAACAAAACAAAAAAAGAAATACATTACAGTAGAATTGCTGGAGAACGTGACAAGTTATTGATCGTTGGCCGCAAATAATGCCAAAATTGGGTTTACTCAAAAATATCGTGTCACGTAAGGCTTACTCAATCCTGTATCGTGGGGCATGTTATGGCGAGGAATTAGGAATGCTTGGCCCACGGGAAACTTTAATCGACTTAAAGGGTGCAAAAACACCCGGAGTAGGCAGTCGATAAAAATCGATTGCAGTCAAGTGATTTCTATGGATTGATAACGGAAATCGGTGAAAATCGATAAACTAAGCTGCTGTGTCAAATCGATATTATCGATTTTCCATGATTATGGAAGTCCGACAAGTTGTTTTTTGGCGTAAGTTAGATAGTACAGCTAAGAAACACATCCATGAGTAACAACTGATCAACAAACATGAAAATAAGAAATGTGGAAACTATTACAGACAAAACATTCTCTCCAAAGCCTTTTGTTGATAATAACAAAAACGGTTCGGTTTAATTACATTCGCAGCTCTTGCAGGCAAGTATCAAGAGAAATACAACCTCAATACATAAAAGATTTCCCAGCCTGAATTTCAGACATCCCCCAGAGTCGAAGGAATGCCTGAAATTCACGCTAAACATTAGATTTCCCTAGATAGATTTTAACCGGTTTCCGTTATCAATCGACAAAAATCACTTGATCGCTAACGATTTTTATCTATTGACTACTCTGGGAAGTAACTAACACGCGGAACTGATGTTATTTTGAAAGGGTGGCAGATCTAAATCGTGAAAAACTGGGCGCCTACAAACCTGGCTAATATCGGCCATCAGAAGACTTTAAACCATGTTTTTAAGAAAAGGTAAGATTTTTTTTTTTTGAAAAAAAGCAAGAAAGTAATAAATTGTTTGACCCTTCGACACTCAATTGCAACTCAGTTGTCAACAAATTAACTGTTGGCGTGAAATCAGTTTTAATTTTTGGATGAACAGAAGAACAGATGTATCTACCGATATAAAGCAATGAAATCGGTAAAATCTATATAGATAAATCGCTAAACGAAACGACTGTGTCATCGATTTCTACCTATTGATCGACACAATCGATATCAGTTTTTATCGATTGACCACTCCGGGAAAAACAGCACAGACAAGTGATCTATCCCAGCAATGGTTTAAATAATAAGGGCTGTTCTGCGGTACTGGTTTGAGATGGCCGACTAGCACCTACCTCACGATTAGTGGCTCTAAGTATTAAATGGTCCGAAATGTTCCTTTCAGTCCTTTCCCGTTGCTTTTAAATTATTCCTATTTTGTGTATATGAAGTGAAAATAGGTTAATTTTCTTTTAAAAGAAAATTAAGTATCTTGGGAATAGCTGGTATGATTTTCCGGCAAAGCCTCTAAAGTTCTATTCTCCACTTTCAGCGAAGGGGATTATCATAACCATACGCCTTCGTTATCGGCTGACATGTTGCTGCGATCATGATGGCGGTACATGATCGGTGAATATATCTTATCGCCACCGATCGTCAAGTGATCAACGGCGTTATCGGTTAAACATCACGCCAAAAATACGGTTTTTCTAAAGGCTTTGCAATTTCCAAAAACAGTTCTAAGCCTGGCAAACTGGCCTTTTGAGCTAAGCATTTTTATCTTATAAGAAGCTTACTATTCTATATAAAAATGCAAAGATAGTTACGATAAGGAATTTTTTTATACATCATTGCGAAGTTTTTTCCACAGTGGACCCTCTATGCCCCCCCCCCCCCCCCCCCCCTTTTTGGGGGGGGTCCAGAATGAACCCCCCAAAGGGGGGCAACGGGGCCAGAGCCCCCGCGGGGGGGGGGGGGGGGGGGACGAAAAAAAAAATATTCCAAGGGGGGAAAACAAAAAAAAAAAAAAATAAAAGCCCCCCTTTTACCCCAAAAAAATATTTACCCCCTGCCAAAAAAAAATCAACAAAAGAAAAATTTAAAGCCCCCCCCCCAAAAATTTTTTAAATTTCCCCCCCCGCCCCCCCTTTCCCGCGGGGCGGGCCGGGAAAATGTAGTTTAATCCCAAAAAAATATTATGACACGGAAAAAGCTGTTTTTATGAAAATAATTTTTATTTTAAAAAAAATATAATTTTTATAAAAAAAAAAAAAAAAAAATTACAAAAAGAAAATTTTTTTAAACTTATTGGGACTTTTTTTCCCCAGTGGCCCCTTCTTCCCCCCCCCCCCCCCCGCACCTTTTTGGGCGTGCTACGAAGATAGACCTGCTAAGAGAGAGACCTGGGAAACGACCCCAGCAGTGGGGAGCGATAAGGGACTAACAAGACAAAGAAGAGACAATTTTGTTTGGTTATAACAAACGAACAAACTTGGTCAAATAGGAACCCTTCCTTGAACATATATTACCCGTGTAAAAACATAACAGACAAGCAATCTAACCAAGTATTGTTAGGGGCCATTCTGCACTAGAGGAAAATTTGTTCCTTGCAAATATGTAGTAAATATGAGGAAATAAATGGCTGATCTGAATTTTGGTAAAATTCTAATAATCTCATGTGTGTCTTTCAGAGAAGGGGATTATCATAACAATATGCTGCCCCTGGTTTCAGTCAGAGCAAGATACGTCGCTTCTTGGAATTGCCATGAAGAAAGCATTCCATGACACCAAAAAAGTTTTTATTACATGGTTTGAAAACGGGAATTGGGTTGTGAGACCAGATGACCTTATCAACTTTTTGGCGTCATATCCGTTTCCTCAGCAACCGAGCGCTGCTACTGATTGTCCACCACGAGGCATAACGGGTAAACAGCGATTTCCATACCCCTGTGATTACAAGATTCACTTACTTTCAGGGAAAACCGTGCTTGTATTAACGCGCATTCGTAATGGAATCATCTCGGACCAGATCAATCAACCAGAAGATGTCCAGTACTGGAAGCCTGGTTTTGTTGTACCCCGGGAAATGAAGGCTAGTCTTTATAAAAAGAATACAAAAACCTCTAGCTGGGAACTTTTTATTCTAATGACTGAAGACGGAATTTTGGCATGCCAGGTGAATAAAAAGGATGAAAAAGACTGGCAAAACTTTATACTTCTAGGCCTTGATGAAACTATTGTGTTACAAACGCAATTAAGACATGGACAGATTTCCATGGAAGATAAACATGCGGTTATTATCAAGGAAAATCTGAGGATTCCTCAAGATCAAATCACAAAGTTGGATCAAGATTATAAGGAGACTCCTTCTGCTGACCTGTTTATCGCGTCTGACTCGAAAGGAAACTTGAGATGTATTGTTAAAGTGGGTACCAGCCTTAAGATGTTCACTTCTATCAATTCATTTTGCAATCAAGTTGCTGGAACAAAATTAAATCCGATTTAGCGACTTTTCGGGTTCTAAAACACGTATTGAACTTAAAAATGCTTAAAAGAATAAGACAACTATCTGCCACTGCTTCTAAAAGAGTTCTCAAAGTTAAGAAATTAAGATCAAGTTAGCAATTAAGTGCGTAGTTATAATAACAGGGTATTTTAAGTTAGGCTATGTATTACGTAGGCACGGTTTAGACTAAATTTAGGGAAAACAGATGTCATTGTCTGAAGATTGTTGACTGTTAGGTGTTGACGAATAGGCTGAAGATGACCGTCCGAATCAGTTTTTGAAACGTTGAATCCAGGTCACTGTTGGTTAGCTCAGTATTGGTTTTGACAAGATTTTGTACGATTACTTTTTAATGCAGATCTTCAGTGTGACGACTTCAACCGGGACCACCTAAGAACTTTCAGCCAATCAGAGACCGCTTCTTTAGCAAAGAAATAGGTGTGCGGACCTCACCTCATACTTTCCAATCCCGCGATCGAGCACATCGCTCATTATATTTTTTCGGGGATGCGCGAAAAAACGCTTTTTTCACAGCGAGCGAGAAGTAAAGGAGTAATTATGAGAGCTGTCTTTGAATAACGTGATAGGTTTAGAAGGTTTGAGTTACCGTTTGAATTGGTGGGATTATTACTCCGTGTCTTCTTGATAAAAACAGCGCCCAGCGCTACCCGGCCCGGCCGTTGATATTTTTTCTTGTTGAACGCAACAATGTTGTTTCGATCTGTTAAAGAAAAACTTGTCCTTTTTTTTACAAATGAATTTTCTGGATCCAGATCTAGAGAGATGACTTCTAGTTGTAGGAATAAGAAAATACCATTCAGCGGTAAAGAAAACAGTGCGATATTTTCAAACAACGTCTTGTAAGGAGACTGCAATATTTTCCCCATATATACGTACAAGGCACTTTTATACCCCTTAGCGAGCAATACATATAGCCTGCCCTTCAATGTATAAGCAGCTTGTATATTTGGAAAAGTCAGCCACACAGCAAAGATGGTAAGTGTATGCGACACACCATCCTAAATGGTGAAAATATTTAGGATCAAAGCTAACCAACCGAAAAAATAGGACAGGTCTCGTTGAGGTCCGCACGCCCAATTCTTTGTGAAAGGAGCGGTTTCTGATTGGCTGAAAGTCCTTAGGTGGCCCCGGTTGAAGTCGTTTCACTGTAAAGTTAATAGAAACCCATATGTCCAAGAGGATTGTCTGCCAAAGCAACGCGGACTCTGGGAACGAGATTGGTCAATGAGCTGACGTTTATGTAATACCGTTTAACTGCTGGGTATTGATACTTGCTTTCCGAATGTAACTCACTCTGCACCCTGCTGTGCGGGCGCTCGCTGAGCCGCGTAGGAATTAGAACTGATTTGCTAAGGTTGAAGTGCAAAAGTCACGGAAGGCCTTATTAGACCATCCCATGCTAAGGTTCACTTGTTTTCTACTTTACCCGATATTGAGCTTGACTATGAGTTTTGACTCCCAAAATAAATAATAGTAGCTACTATATATTCAGTTGACAAGCTGTGTGACTTTGTAGCCGCTTCGACGTTTATAAAATAAGACTTTTCTCTTCATTGATATAATAGGTATAAAGATAGGAGAGCCGTAGCTCTTGTGGGGTACTCCCTATAATGGGTTGATACCGGGAGGCTCCGCCCGAAATGGGTACCTTTTTCAGACTTTAGGAATATGAAAGGGCAGGGAAATCTGTTATTTGGGGTCTGTGAAAGAGCCCTAAAGGGTTAAGAGATGAAATTGGCTTTATAAATCGAGAAAACGTTCTATTTTTTGATTGATTCCTACTTAATAGACAGTGCATTTACAGCAGTTAAAAAAGAAGCAGAGTTCAAAACAAGGTACGTGAAAGGGGTACCATTTGTCAATAGAAGGTATACGGAAGGGGACCTTTTTCGTGAACATTGGTATATAAAAGGGTAAGCGGTTGGACCTCGGGGCGAAGCCTTCCCGTATGAAAATTTGTTGAGTACCGCCCTACTCCCCTGGAGTGACATGTAGAAGGTCATAAAGCCGGAACATTAGAAACAATGGGATTATTTGTGTATTTAATTATTTGTGGTGTGTATGAAATATAGTGGGGATTGTTACAGTAAGCGTATGTGTTGACCAGCTTTGAAAGTCCACCCGGCAATAATATGAAAGAAGGAGCAAAACCAGTCATCAGCAAACAATGTACAGACGATGAATGTCAGCATCAATAAAAATACTTGAAAAAAAGAATGAAGGGCACATTTAGCGATGTTAGAAAAAGTTTTTGGACCACTTTTATAGTATGGCGTCAATGATGATAACTGAAAAAGTACAGAGTAGCCCCTAGCTCGGCGTTAATGTCTTTAGTATAAGAATTAATTTCCTATGCCGAATCAAAGTAGCTAACGCTCCTACGCGACTTGGCATTCATTAGATCTTTCCAAGTTCACCTAATGTGTTAAGTTTGAATCTAGAAAAATGACCGCTTTTAAGTGTTTATATCATGACCCTGAGACAATTATAACATTGGATTAAAGAATGCGAAGCTTAAGGGATTTACTTAAACTTTCTTCGCTTTGGACCCTACACGGATAGTTAGATGAAATACAATATTGGCAGAAAAAAACAATTAAAGATTTCGCTTTCATACAACTTACTTAATTTCAAGTACAATCCAATCCGCTAAGTCTCAATTTTTGAGAGGGAGGAAGCTTCGAAGGAAATACGTCGATTTTAATTTGACTTGTTCCGAATCTTCTCGCGGCTCCGCCGTAGTAGTTTCTTGGTGTTGAGGACGGGCGCAATCACCAAATGACGTAATATAACAGACTGAAAAGACACTGAACAATACCTACACCACAACACAAAAGCGAACCAACAATAGTCACCGCAAAACCAGGAAACACCAGCTAATCCCGCCAGCTACGTGGCCTCCCATCCACGCACGCGTTCCTCCCACACGTCAGGGGAGGAATGCGTGACGAAGCCCTTGGAAGACTGCCTGACGTGGAGGCTAAACAATTGCATTCCCAAGAGCCTTTGCAGTGTTGTTTAAACGTCGAAGAGCGAATTTCAGCGATGAAATTGATGAATGTTCTTGAATTGTTAAGCGTTCCTGTTGTACATTAAGCTTATTCTGTTTTAGATGCTACTGGTATCGGTCATCTCCTCTCAGTCAGAGGACATAAAAGGCTGCTCTCGGGCAACTGGAACAGTCGGCCTGTAAGTTCTGCTTTTTTCTTGTTCTGGAGGAAGATACGATCAGTCGGTCACCATTATCAAGAGTATTCGTCTGCAGAAATAGTTTGATTTTGGACTGTGCTTTTTGGGACTTAATGACAATGTTGCTACTTTCTTAGCTTCAGTGAGTCCTCAGTGATCCATTCTGAGTAGGTGGACAGCAAAAACCATAAAATATTCAACTATAAAATACTGCTTCCTCCTTGGTTGGAGCAGCGCACTTGGTAAGTTCTTCAGAGCGTCTTTATTTAGTCGAACTGCGTATGATTTAATCTTTTTCATAATCTGAGATACAATAACTAATACAGTTGACTACACGCGAACACATCACTATTGTGCACCATTAAATACAAAATTATCCCAAGCAAAGTTTTATTATCGTCCTTGAAGGAGCCTCCTCAAAGTCAAATTCTAAGTTCACGCTTATTGATGATTTTCACAGTGTCGTCGTCAGATTGCAAAGTCAAGAAAGCGAGGGCTTGCGAATTCTTATTTACACTAGTTTGAAGATAAATAGAAAATAAGTCTTTGCACAAGTTTCCGGCCCTGAAGCATGTTTCATTTCTAAAGTAAAGCAATTTGAACTTCCGAGTTTTCACAGTGCGTGACACCAAAATAGGAATGCTGTCTCATTGAAAAAAGTTGCTCCTCTTGATTTTCAGCAGTTTAACCATTTCACGTATTAAAGGATGTGTTTATGCGCACGTATGCTAGCTCTCGAGTGAAAAGGAAGAGCTTTTATAGAAAAAGTGAACTCCAGATGTTTTTGTTGATTTCCGGCGGCCATATTGGTGGACAGTTTCTGTCCAGGTAGTGGCTAGATGGAATACCTCAGAAGGAAGTGATCGAGGAGGACTAGAAACGAGAGTTGTTTCAGTAATCTTCTGCTCGTGAGACAAAATGGCACATCTCGCGATCACCTTTTGTCGTCGGACTTGTAATTTCTAACAGAATTTAAGAATAAAGAACTTCGAACGGCAAGGGAAATGTTATAAAAATTATTTTAAACTCTTCTGTTTGCACAGGCAACCCAAGTGCACTATGTGTGGGTCCAGGCTTCAGAGGTCATTTGGTCAAAATATACTAGAATTATTAGTGTATTATCTGATGCCAAATAAATGCAAAAATCTTAAAGATATGAAGTCTTCTTGTTTGTCTATCTGTACTAATAGCCTTTAAGATAACAAAGGTCAATGTTTCTTGCATTATTACATGTGATTCGGGCCCTTATTTTTCGTATTTTGCTAAGAAAAAAATCATGATCAAGCAAAATATTGATTCAAGAAGCTCGCTTACCTTTAGTTCATAGCCACTCTGTGTCCTATGGCCGGTTTAAACGCCGTTTAGTCGACTTTCTTTCCATCCAGGACTGAACACTATAAAAGAAGGGAAGGCTGGAGACCTTCCAACCAGCCCTCACCACGCGAAGGCCAATAAATTCCAAACAAGGCGACCGATCTCCCTAAAATTGCCACCAGCCAGACCGAAGAGTGTATATCTACCTGTTCGACAAGCGCCAGTTTCTAAATTCAGCTGCATGAGCGCGAGGAGTGCTGCATTTCATATCGATTCTGGCCAGCCTCGCTTCACCGTGATGCGTAATCTGACTATTATCCTGGAGCTTGGCGACCACGTCAGATCGACAAAACGTCACTCTCGCAGGGGACAGTCATTAGTTTTGCACATGTGATAAAATTCGAACAATAAGGGCTTGAACCACATGTAATAATGCAAGAAATATCGACCTTCGTTATGTTAAAGGCTACTAGTAC